TTTTTTTTTTTTTTTTTTTTTTTTTCTTCTTTAAAATAATATATAAATAACAAAAAATTTCATTAATTATAAAAAATTATAATGTATTATTATTTGAATATTCTTCAAAATATTTCTTTTTAAGACTTTCATTCAATTTAAATGAAATGGACAGGTATAATTTCTGGAATATTATAAGAAATAAATTTATAAAGATAGTTAAAATTCCTCATATATAATATAGATGAAAAAAATACTTTAATATTATTTCATTTTATTATTTTATTATTTTATTATTTTATTATTTTTTTTTTTTTTTATCCTATATTAAAGAAAAAAACCTAAAGTACCTCCATCTTCCTATTTAATTTTTTGTAATTATGAAAGAGATAATGTTAAAAACATTTTATTAGAAAAATCTAATAAAGCAACAGTAAAAAAAAAAAAAAAAAAGTCTATATTGTTTATAAATTTTATAATACAATGCAATTTTATTAATATTTATATTTCAAATTAATATAATTGAAATATTTCCTATTTACCTTTTTTATATAAGATAAAAATAACTGATATTCAAAAAGAATTAAGTAATAAATGGAAATCTTTGTCTGAAGAGGAAAGAAATGTTAATTATTTAAAAAGAAAATAAAAAAAAAAAAAATATATGTCTATATATATATATAATAAATTATTAAAAAAAATTTTATTTTTATGACTAACAAATTATTATATATAATTATTTTACTCATTAGAAATATGAAGAACAAGCTCAAATTTTAAAATCAAAATATAATGAAGAATTGTTGGAATGGGTATATGCTGAATATAAAAAAATAAAGAAAAATATATTTATATATATATATATACAACTTTATAAATTCAATAATATTATTTTTTTCTAATGAATTTTATAAATTAGCAAAATCTTCAAAAAAATGACATGTCTGGTGTTACGTATGTTATAAAAAAAGAATTAAAATAAACCCCTTTTTTTAATATGTAAATTATACAGTATAAAATTGGTAATGAGGAATATATAACTAACTTTTTTATTTTTAATAGGAATATGCAAAACTTTACTAAATTTCCTATTATGAAAATTCAGAAAATTATGCATTTGAATAATAATGTCAAAAAGGTATGGAAAATACTTTGACTATATTTCCTTTTTTTAAATAATATGCAATTTTTCTTTTTTTGTTAAATAATTATAACGTTTTTATTCATTTTTTATTAGATTAATAATGAAGCTATTAATATTTTTCAAAAAGCAGTGGTTAGATGTATAAAATATAAATTTCTCCTATAACATCCTCATATATTTAATATTTATTTTTAATAGATTATGTTTTTAATTGAGTTAGTTAACAAAACTATTGAATATAAGAATGAAAAAAATTCCTCCCGATATATAACAACCCTTGATATAAGTTAAAATAATTCTTATAAGAATTTTTTTTTTTAATAATGATAAACTTTTATTAATTGCATATATATATATATATATGTATATATATTTTCTTTTTAATATTTATTTAGTTTCGTGCATAAAAAGGGAAGGAATAAAATATAAATTTCTTGAAGGTTTTTCAAAAATATAAATAGCTATTATTTATATCTCAAAATATAACTAATAATTTTTAGTGAAAATTATTTTATTTAATTAATTATATATATATATATGAAATATAAAATTTATGATGTTTTTATTTTATAATATATATAGATTGTTTGTATTTATTAAAAGATGAAGGTATTAACACATTTTTTCTTGAAGATGATGAAAATGAAGGTATAATTTATTTTTATCTATTTAATAAGGAAACATAAAATTGACCTCAAAAGAGTCAAAATATTCCTTTTTACCCTATCTTTTTTTTTAAATTATTAGAATTTTTTTTCTTTTTTTTAATAAATAAAATATAATTTAATATTTTTTTTTTTTTTTTATTTTAAAAGAATCATTATTTGATTTATGTGAAGAAGATAAAAAGGAATATGATTATGATATAGAAGAAAAGAAATTAAGTAAATTGAAGAAAAAAGAAAATAAAGCAAAAGATAAAAATGGGAAAAAAAATGTTTATGCGGATATTACAACTTTTTTTAAAAAAATTTAGTGCATTTTTATCATTTTTTGTTATATAAAAATGATTTAAATTTTTAATTTAAAAGAAAAAAAAGGAGATATATATATATATATATATATTTTTTTTTTTTTTTTTTTTTTTTATTAATCATGTTTTATTACTTATGTTTACAATGAAAATATAAATTTTACATATATATAATATAAAAATTTTTTTTTTACAATATATATAGATAACAATTATATACATTGAATTAACAATTATATACATTGAATATTTTTTTTTAAAGTTAATTTATAAATTTTTTCGTATATTTTATTTAGACCAAAAAATTAAAAAAATTTGAAATCTTTCTATTTAAAAAAAAAAAAATTAAAAGAAAAAAAAATTACAGTTCTGAGAAATTATTTTTCCATTTCTTTCCAATTTTAGTTTTAATTTTTTACTCTTTTGACTATAAGCAAATATGGATACAAAAAAGTTTAAAAATATTGCTTTTATAGATGCTGATTATTATATAATTAACTACAGTAGTACTATTACTACATATATACAAAACATATTTACGAATTTATTAAGAGATAAAAACACAATAGAAACAGGAAATCAGATAGATAAGAATATTGATGAAAGGAAAAAAATAATTTGCATTTTTATGTTAAAAATATTTTTAAACAACATAGACAAAAATTTAAATTTATTTGATTATTTGCACAGTGTAATAAAAAAATATTATGATCTTATATTTAATAAAAAATTAAATTATAAAACTAATAAAATAAAGGTAAATGATGAAAATGAAAATTATATAGGAAAAAATGGTGATAGAAAAGTTTCCAATATTAATGAACAAAAAGAGAAAAAAAACTGTGAAATAACAAATTCTTTAAATGAAGAAATTGATAAAAATGAATATAATGAAATATTTATAAATAATGAAATAAATGATTTGATGCAGAATCTAATAAAAAATAATAATTATAATAATATGGAAAATATAAATCAATCAAAAATTTGCTTTATTAACATAACAAACAGAGATACTAAAAAAAATTCATCTTCAGTTGAAAATTTTACTTTAGATAACTATTGTGAAAGTGATTTAAGTAATAATTCTAAAAATAAAAAAACAGATTATTATGAAAATAAGTGTAGTTATGATAATGAAAAAAAGGTGAAAGATGATTCTTTTTATAGTACTTATAAATTAAATAATACCTTTCCAAATGTTAATAAGAAAAGGTTTTTAATAAATTATAATAATATTAATCTTAAATTAAAAAATTTTGATGATTTTTTAAATTTAAGATGTATTAAAAAAGTACATAAGGAAGATGAAGAATGTATTCAAGAGATAAAAAATTTATATAGGATAATAATATTGTCTAAATTACATATAGGAGTTTATAATTTTTTATCTTTCTTAAAAAAAAAAAAATATTTCTTTATATTTTACACTTCTAATAAATATTTGACGAATTTATTATTTAAATGGTTTAAAATTTCTAGAAAATTTAAAAATTGCTATAAAGTAATAGATTCATTTCAAGAATTAAATTTAAAAAATTATAATAATTTCCTTGTGTTTAGTAATCGTGAATGTTTCATAAATCAAGCAAAAAAAAGCGGATTTTTCAAAATAGCTGTTGGGAAAAATTCATTAAAAACTTCTAATTGTGATGACGTAAATTGGAATATTATACATAAAGAAAATTTTATATCTGACTATTCTGATTCTATATCTAATAAATATAATGATGTTGTTTATCCTTTTTTAAGAAATTGCAATTTAACTGAAGATATTTTATCATGGAGAATATTTTACATATTTAAAAAATATATTTATATATATGGAGAAGTAGTAAAAGGATTTGGGAGAGGGAGTAAATATTTAAATCTTCCAACAGCTAATATATCAAGTTCTAATTTAGCTTATGTTGATATAATGCCAGGAATATATTTTGGTATCTCTAAATTAAAAAATAAAATTTATAAAACTGTTATATCTATTGGATATAATCCTTATTTTAAGAATAAACATATGACTATTGAAGCTTTTCTATATTATAAAACAAACGTTTTTTTTTATAAGGAAAATATTCATTTAATTATTATGGGAATTCTTAGAAGTGAAAGTAATTTTTCTTATTTTTCACACCTAATACATGCTATTCAATTTGATTGTGAACTTGCAAGAATTATTCTAAACAAAATTCAAAATGATAAAAATTTTATAAAATGTAAGAATTACCTTAATTCATTATAACTTTAAAAAAAAAAAAAAAAAAAAACATTATAATTAATATAGCATAATATAGCATTTCCCTTTTCATAAAAAAACAGTTGTCCTAATAAGATTATTAAAATATCTATATATATATATAATCCTCTTATCTTTGAAACCAAAATACTATTATTTTTCAAAAAAAATAATAAATTCAATAAATAAAAATAGTTAATTATATATCTTTTTAAAGACTTTTTTTTGTTCTTTTTTATGAATAATATTTTTCTTTTATAAATTATTTTTATTGTAATTTTTTTTTTTTTTTCTTAATATTTCTTAATATTTCTTTTTATACTTTTAAATAACTATTAAAATATATTGTTACACTTTTTATATTTGTTTTCCTTCATAATAACAAGACAATGTGAGCAACTATTTATGAATTTTTTATATTTCAAATTAATAAAAATGCTAAAATGCAAATACTAAAATATCTACAGTATTATTTGTACTTTAAAAAAAAAAAAAGAAATAAATATTAAATATATTTTGATAAATAAAAAAGTAAAATAAACATATAAAAAAATAAAAGGAACAAAAAAATACTTAATGTACAAAAATTTTTAAATATTAAAATTTTACTCTAAAATCATTAATACAGTTTCCTTATTTTTTTTTTTTTTTTTTTTTTTTTTTTAGAGATGTAATCATTTCAAAAATATATAAATTACTCCTTTTTATAACTTATGACATTTGTTATTCCAATAAATTAAATTATCTATTTCTTCTATAAATATAGGCATTTCTTTTGTTATAAAAAAAGAATTTCGTTTCTTTACATTTTATATATATGTTAAAATTAAAAAAAAGTATTTAAGCATATTTTATTAGTTGTATATTACAAATATGAAAGTAAAAGTTAGTATTATATTTATACAACTGAAAAACATATACTACTTGAAATATGTGATTTATTTTAATTCACAAAAAACCTACCTATTTAAATTATAGATATAATTTATGTTAACTTTTTTTTTTTTTTTTTTTCAAATAAAAATGCCTTTCAAAAATAACATGATTCTATATGAACAAAAAAAAAAATAAAAATAAAATAATAAAAATATAATATATATAATATATTTTTTATTATTTCATAATTTAAATTTTTTTTTTTTTTTTAATGTAATTATTAAGTTATTTAATTTAAATTTATATTTTTGTTTTATGTATTAAAAAATCTTTACCATTTTTTATATAAATTTATTATTACATTTTTACTTTTTTTTTTTTTTTAAATTGTAATTGTATTTTAACATATAAAAAGATCTATGAATGTTTTTTGTTTTTTATTTTATTTCATTTATATTTTTTCACATTACATTTGCTTATTATTTATCTCTTTTTTAAATTTATTTATGTTGTTTGAATTTTTAATTTAGTACAAAAAATATTTAATATATTAACATTTATGTATATTTTATTTTGTTAAAATATAGAACCAAAAAAAAAAAAAAAAAAAAAAAAAAAAAAAAAAAANAAAAAAAAAAAAAAAAAAAAAAAAAAATAAAATACATGAAAATTAAAATTAAAAAAATATATTATTAATACTAATAAAAAAATAATTATTATAATTAACTATAAAGAATAATTAAAAAAATAAATTAAAAATTATGAGAACTATTTTTCTTAATAAATATCCATAGCTTTATTTTTTTTTTTTTTTTTTTTTTTTTATCCATACAAAATGTTAAGCAAACAATTAAAAGACTTAAAAGTACAGAAGAATGTAAACGTATTTGAAGATAAAAATATAGATAAATTAACAAGAAGTAAATATAAATTATTTAAAAATTTTTACAAAAACTTTATTTTAACATCGTTACATATAGAATCTATAAAGAAATGCTTAAATAATTTGAAAAGTGTAAACAAATCTTTTAACGAGTTTGACAATTTATTTTTACTTGAAGAGGGTGATATTTTGAATTATTTTTATGATGAAAATGAAAAAGGAGAAAAAGAACTTTATTTAAAACATCGTGAGTTTTTAACAGAAGAAGAAGAAAAAATTATTTTTAAAAAAATAAAATTATTTTTAAAACTATGCTCTGTGTATACAAATAAGAAAGAAATAAAAATATTGATTGAATTTTTAATATATAAATATGAAATTAACATAAAATGTAGTCAAGATATTATACTATGTATTTTACCTAATATTTTTTTACTAGAATTAAAAAACATTATAGAAATTATATTTATAGAAAAACAGTCTCCATTCTATTTTATTAATAACTACAAACATGATGAATTAAAAAGACTGGATAAATCTGTTTTCATTCAAAATATAAAAAAAAATATTAGTATATATAAAATATTATTTGAATATTTAATAGATTTAATTAATTGTACGATAGTTATCCAAAACATCGAAACGCATATTCCTTTTATAGATTTTTTTATTTCAATCACATATGAAATTGTTAATAGTTATATTGATATGCCATTTCATATAATTGAATTTTATTGCAATATATTTTTAGTATTAATAAAAATAGGAAAATGTTCTTTTAATTCATTAAATCATATATATACTATAAAAAATGAAGATTCACTAGATCCTTTCAAAGAGACTAAAGAAATTCATATTTTACGATTATATAATTGTTCTCTACTTTTTAAAAATTTTTTGGATATATTTGAAATTTCTATAAATAAATGCAAAAAAGATGTAAATTTAACTTTTTTAAAAAGTAAGATTTTTTTATTTGAAAAAGATTTCTTATTATTAAATGAACAAGTAATAGATCAATCACACTGTGCTGAATTTGTAAAATGCTTAATTATTTTGTTAAATATAATATATAAATATTCTTATAAAATATCTTTTAAAAAGTATACTAATGAAGAAGAAAAAACAGTAGATGAGGAAAAAAAAAATGGAGAAAATAAAACAGACGATAAAACCAAAAAGAATGAAAAAAACCTTCTTAATATTATTAATTTTGTAAAAGAAAATAAACAAGATTATTTCAATAATAATATAAATTATGTAATAAAGGAAAAAAATTTAATAATAAAACTTCTTTATTTATTTTGTGAAGCAGATGTATATGAAATTATTGATAATATAATTAAACATATACTGATTAAAACTTATTCTTTGGAGTTAGATTTTTTTATTATTGTTGATATATTTACTAATTTACTTAATAAGAATATTTATATATTTAATATTATCCTTATAATTAACTTAATATCATTTTATATATTTTTAATTAAGAGAGCAGAAGAACAAGAAGAAGATGAAGAAGAAAGAGAAAAAAATAAATCAAAAATTCAAGCTGTTGAATTGTTGCTAAAGAGAAACAATAATAATATATGCAAAGAAGATTTTAATATAATTGTTAAATACTTTATCAAAGAAAATAATATATTATTTAAAGAAAAGATAATATTATTTGAAATATATAGTAAAATAGACGAAAAATTATTAGAATTGATTAATATATATAATAATAAATTAACTAATATAGAAATATTTAATTCCATAAATTTTGATAATGTAGATTTTAATAATGATGAAATTGTTGAAGAAGCACTTAAAAATATTAAATTCATTTATGAGCATAAAAAAAAATTAGAAATTTCAAATGATGATGATAAGAAAGAGATTTTCGATGAATCTTTCAATCTTGATTTAATAAAAAAGGGAACTAATTATTTAAAATCAAAAAAATATATAAAGTGTTTATATTTCAAAGTTATTCTTTTATTAAAAAAAAGCAAAATACAATTTATTGATTATTTAAAAATATATGAAAAAGAATTATTATATTTTTTTCCTTCAAAAAAATATTTATACCGAATAATTTTTAATTCATTTAAAGAATTGAAATTTAATAAATTCTGTGAACTGGATAAAGAAAGAAATAAAATATTTTTAAAATTCTACATACAATTATTTATGATTAAATTGAAAAAATTGGAAATGAAAAATAATAAAAAATTAAAGGATGATAAGTTTTTTAAAAAATTTATTAATTTTAACTTCTCCTTCTTTTTCATTATATATGACTGCGTAACCAATCATCATTTTTATCCTGAGCATTCATATTTTTCAAGAAATATTGAAGAAGAAAATTTTAAGTTAGTAAAAACTTTTTTCATTTATTTATTAAAATTAAAAAATATACAATATTATAATTTTGATGAATTTTTTGAAAATGAAGTAAAATATCATCGATTTGAAAACATTAAAATTTTAATAAAATATAGTTCACCATTTAAAGCACTTATCTTATTTAGAATAATGTATTATTTTTCAAAATTAAACATAAGCTATTTAATGAATATAAAAGAAATGCACAATTTAAGAAACAAAGATGATCATGTAGAATCTTCTATGCAGTTAAATAACATAGAAGACATTAAAGATAAAAATAAAAAAATTGAGAAATCTGAAAAAAAGGAATTAAAGTTTTTTCTATTAAAAATTTTTAATATTCTATTAAAAAACATGGATGATATCAATTATCTTAAATCAGATATTAAAAATAATATATATATTGGTATATTAGAAACATTTCAAACCAGCATATTATTGTTCGTTAATTTTGATGTTTCATTAGCTTCTTTTCTTTATTACAAATATATTAATATTTTCTATTTAAATGAAACATATATAAGATTTGTATTAGATACAGTAGATTCCTTTTTTAATTTGTTTAAAATTGATAATTTTAAAAAGTTTATAAAAGATAATAACATGTTTATCGGTATTGTTATAGAATTATATAAAAAAATATTAAAAAATTGTAATAAATTAGATATAAAAATTTTTTATAAGTTTTTTATTATATCTATAATGCTTCATACTATACCAGATGTTGATAGTTCTGGTCGTATTACATATATGTGGAAGTTGTTAAAAAAAATGAGTTTTAATAAAACATATCTTATAAATTATAACGTCATAAATAAAGTCTTCAAAGAGAATAATATGAACTTCTTAAATAATTTAAGTTTTCCAAACGATAATAATGAGTATGATGGTAATTATATAATTAATGAAGATAAAGATAATTGTGATAATAATAACAATTATTATAATAACAATTTAAATGATGAAAATGAAGATAATAATGATATAGATAAAATAGAAAATAATAAAAAAAGTAATCAACCAAATAAGGAAAATAATAGCATAGAAGAAAACGAAATTTCATTCCAATCGTTAAGTGACGACTACTCTTTTGATTATAGATGTTTTCTGCCATCTTCAAAATATTTATCTTCACGAAAAAATGTATACAGGGAATCATCAAAATATTATTTATTTGCATTTGCTTATCTAAACAAACATTTTTTTGATATATTTTTGTTAAATTTTCATACAAATACATTTCACAATAGTATTGTTGAAGAGTTTTTAAATAAAGATTTAATTTTAATATTTTTAAAAATAATTATGCAAAAAAATTCATATCCCTATAAAATTACTCAAATATATAAATTTATATTAGCAAAGTGTTGTGAATCTCAAATTAAAGTAGAACATATATCTCTTTTTTTATATTTAATTGATTTTTATGTGAATGTTTTGGATAATAAATTCGTAAAAAAGAAAAAAAACAATTTAAAGAATGATAACGTTCTTATAGATAATAATAGTGTCATTAATAGATCATCAAATAAAAAAGGGGATTATATAAATAAAAAGCTACTTAAAACAATTAATACACAAAATCTAAATACAAATTCGGAAGAATTAAAAAATAAATTATTTAATAAAAAAATTAAAAAAATTAACTATAAAAATATTTTAGATGAAGGAAATGAAGATATTAAAAAAAATTATTTTCAAAAATTGAAAGGATTTTATAAATATCATGAAAACCTTTTTGAAAATTATTATTTTGATAAAGGAAGAGAACTTAAAACATTATGTGAATCTATCATAAGTATTATAATAAATGATAAAAATAATTTATTAACAATCCAATTATTGTGTATAAAAAACTTTTCTTCAAGTTCTCTATTCAAAAATAATTTACGTTTATCTTTAGAAAAAATGGAAATATGTAATTTAATGATATTTAAAAGAATATTTTTAAATAAAAAGAGTCAAGATGACAATTTCATATTATTAATGTGTAAAAATGTGAAAAGTGTTATAGAAAAAAACAAAATATTATTATTTATAGAAAAAAAAATTATCAAACATACGAAAACCAGTTATTTTAAAATATTGAAATATCTTAATGCTTTATCTGATGGGAAGGTAGAAAATAATTCCGCTTGTGTTCATTTTATAAATAGTCATATAAGAATTTTTAGGAAAATATCAAATAATCTACAACCAAATGACAGTATTTTTTTAAAATTAATAAAATATGTAACAAATATTTGTAGGCTCATATATGACGTTCCAGATTTAGTAGAATATCATTTTTCATTAATTAAAAACAACTTCTTAACATATATTATCTCCTTTTTTTGTAAAAATATAAATTATTTTTACGAAAATATTACTTCTCATATAAAACCCTTTGCATATGTTTTTGATAAAATTATACAAAGAAGAATAATGCTATTTATTAATTTTAACAAAAAACATGAATCAAATAATTGTTCTCAACAGAAATATGATGAAAATAAAAAAAGAATAAATAAGGAACTATATGAAGAAAATAATGATTATCATGATTTCAATTTTTCAAAAAAAAGAAAAATTCTGAATATTCATCCTACTATTTACGAAGATCCTTTAATATATAATGAAAAAAAAGATGAAGGTAAAAATATCATTGATGATGAAGATATTTCTTATAATTGTGAACAAGAAAATCATATTAAATATAGTAATGAAAAGGATAACAAAAATTTAATTGCAGATTTTGTAGAGAATGAGGAAGAAATTAATAAATATTATCACTTGCATATATTCGGATTTATGTGCACTTTGATTAATAAGGTGTTTAAAAAAGAAATTGATTTGAAGCATTTTACTATTTTAACTAATAATTTAATTTTTCTTTTCAATAAAAGTTATAGTTCTTATGTTATATCAATTAGCCTTATAAATTTAATTATAAAAATTAAGTTAGAAAAAATATATGCTTGCAAAAATTATATTGTAGAAATTTTTAATGTATACTATTTCAGTGATATCGATTATTGTATTAATAATCATCTACTATTACTGCTATCACTATATTTGTGTCCTTACAATTATAAAAAGAATAATTTACTTAAGGATGAGTGTAATGAAGATAGAAATAAAGGGAATGAAATGAATAGTGAGGATGATGAAATTATATATCCTAATTATGTAAAAATGAAATTAAAATATATTAAACCACACTTAAAAAAAGTGAAAAATATTCATAATTTATGTTTAAAAATAATTACATTAATTTCAATAATTAGTACAATAAATAAGAGACGTATTCAATCAATTTCTTATTTTGTATATTTTTCAACTTTTCAAAATTTTATTCTTTGCTTCTGTTTTTCAAAAAACAAAGTAATTAATAGAAAACTTAATGTGTTATTCAAGAAATTCTCTTTTCGTAATACAGATACTTTTATACTCTATTATATTTTAAATAATTATAGAATAAAAAAAGATATATTAGAAAATAAAAATAATGAAGAAGATAAAGAAATATTAGAAATTGCAGAAGGAAAAAATAAAATTGTGAATAATAAACGTAAAAATATTTATTATTTTGAAAATTTATTCTTATATAAATTTTTATTTTATTTAAATAAATTAAAAGGTTCTATGAAATTTAATGAAAGTTGTAAGAAATACTTGAAACTTAAAGAAAATAAAAGCATTACAAATGAAACGGATTGCTCTAAAAATAATAAACATTTTCTTTATGATATTTTTAATGTTCTTATGGTAGAACAAGATGATGATAATATAAATAATATTATAAAACAAAACGTTTTCAATTTTTATGAATTTATAATAGATAAATTAGTACACTTAAATTATATAAATTACAAAAATTTATTTAAACAGATAATAATTTTTATTAATCATAAATTAAATTATGAAATAGACGCAAAACATATATTTGATGCTATAATGCATTTCATATATGAAAAAAAAGAAAAAAGAATTTTTCCATTAAATGAAATATATATATATAACATATTCAATAAATCATTATTTAAAATAAAATTGGATAATTCTATGATAATTTTAATTGTTTCTAAAATAAATGAAATATTAAAAAGGTTATTTGAGCAATATTATATATTTTATAATATTGACAGAAAAAATAAAATAAGTTGTGAAGATCGTGACCATAAAAAAGAAGGAGACATTGTTAACAATAATATAAAGTGTAATCAGATGAAAAAGAAAAATAAAATCTTCGATTTAGAAATCTATATGATAAATGATGCATACAACAAATATAGTGAAATATTAAGTGAAAAAGACGAAGAAAATAAAAAGGATAATAGTAATAATTTAGATAATAATGTTGAATTGTTATGTTTATCTGATGTAAATTCAGTAGATTCTAATTATAGCTTTAATGATGAATGTAATAATAATAATGAAGATAAGAAGGAAAAAGAAATAGAATATGATTTAAAAGAAATAGATTATATTAAATATATGAATGAAATAAAAGATTTTAAACAAATTTTTCTATTAGATAATTATTATTTGAATACAATTTTAAAATGCATATGTTCTTTATTAATTAATTTTCCACAATTCACCAAAAAAAAAATGATTGAATTACTGAAGGTTTTATTTTTTAGTAACACAAAATATATTTTACTAAATGAAAAAAATGTGTTTAATAATAATTTTTATAATTTAAGCAAAGAAAAGAAAATTAAATATATTAGTAAAATTATAGAAAACCCTTTAAAAAAGATAAATTTATATCATTTATTTTTTATTTTTTCAAATAACGATATTAAAATTTGTTTTAAGTATTTAAGTAAATATTACAGGAAATTTTATAATTATTTTAAAGATACTAGTCAAATTTACTCATATAAAAAATCAGTAGTACTTAATAATTCATTATTCATTTATCAAAATCTTATAATTTTTCAAAATATTTTCGATAGTAATATAATTATGGGAATAGGACTAAAATTATTATTCTCTTTAATAAAGAACTATATAAAAAATTGTTGCAAATATATCACACTTCTTTATGAAAAATACAAGATGAATATAATGTACTTAAATACTAAAGATTTTTATTGTTATAATGATAATTACTGTTTAAAAAATTCAGAAAAATCAAAAAATCAATTATTAGTTGATATGAGAGTAGAAGAACAAAATATAGTAACATCATTGGTATATACTTCGTCTAAGTTAAAATTTTCATCATTAGAAAATTTATTTGAGAAACTAGTTTTAAATTTTGAGAATAAGCATTTTGAATCGAATTCTTTAAATATATATGATCAATACAAAACAATATATGAAAAAAGAATATATTTTTTATATTTTTATAAATTATACCAAAATTTTGGTTCTGTTTTGAGTGAAAATAATAAGTATTTATTTGATTTACTTAACAATATAAAATTTAGTTTAATTCTATGTCAAAAAAATTATGAACAGTTTTTTGAAAACTTAAAAAGTGAAGCATTTAAACAAGGTGAAATGGGAAGAGAAGTAGAAGAAAAAGAACATAGTAATTATTACGAAGATAAAGATGAAAATAGGGAAATAGATAAATTTTTCAATGAATATGAAAATGAAAAAAAAACAAAGTTTAGAAAAAATATCTCAAAAAGTAAATGGTATTGGTTTGAACTTGGTTATTGTACATTACTTTGTTTGTATGAAATTTTAAAAAATGAAAAAAAAAATCAGAAAAATTTTACTGCCATATTTTATCAAACATGTTTTGACAATGTTATAAACTGCTTTGATTTTTTTATTCATCTACCGAGAATTCATATAAATGACGATTTTAAAAATACCATTAATGAAAAAATTGTAAGAAATAGTGAATTTTTTGATATGAAACAGACTTCTATTATTTTATTAGACCTACTAAAATTAATTTTGTTGGAATTTTATTCCTTATATTTAAATGACCCAGAAAAGATACAGATTATGACAATGAGAATATCACTCAAAAATAATAACAATAATAATATAATTATATCTATAATTTTAACCTTGAAATATATATATGAAACTATCGGTTATAAAGAATTACTTTTTTCTGTAAAAGATCTATATCAAATTTTTTCTGAGTTAAATGATCATCCAGATGATGAAATTGAATTTCTAACTAAAGAATGGCTTAACTCAATAAGCAAACATACAGAAACATAAAATATTTTCTTATAAAAATAAATGGTTATGTATTATTAATTTTTCAAATATCATATAATTTAAATATATATGTTACATATTTTAATAAAAAATACACATAATGATTTATTATAAAACATTACAATTTTAAATATAAAGAAATACTAAAAAGAATATTTTCTTAAAAAAACATTTTTATAATAAATTTTTTATATACATTTGTTTTTATACTAAGTTATATTCAACTATTAAACTAATAAATTATCAATATATTTTATAAAATTAAAAAATTTTCTTTTTTTTTCTTATTTCACATTTTTAAAAATAAATTTTAATTTTGTTTTCTTAAAATAATATTTGTTTTTTTTTTTTTTTTTTTTTTTATTTTTAAGATAAATTCTCAGTTTTCTAAAATTAAAATTTAATTTTATATTTAAAAATATAATTGAATTCATGAAATTTTTTTTAATTATTTTTTTAAAAACACCATGTTTCAAATTTAATAAAAAAAATTACTCATTTAAACAAAAAATTTTAAATATTTATAAATGAAAATAAATATATTTACAACATCGTTTTAAAAGAATATATAAAATCAAAATTTTTTTTTTTAATTTGTTGTTCATAAAAAATAAAAAAGAAAGTAGTAAACTTAAGTTTTTTTTTTTTTTTTTTTTGTTTTAATATATATAGTTAAATTATTTGATAATTTTTTAACAAGTAGTATTTTGTTCTCAATAAAAATGGGAGTTTTAGAGGTAAAAAGGAAAATACATTAATTGTAATTTTTTTTTTATACTATTATATATTTTTAATTTTTTTTTTATAAGAAAATCAAAGAAATTGAAGCTGAAATGGCCCGAACCCAAAAAAATAAAGCAACAGAAGTATGTAAAAGATTTATATTGGGTTATTTTTTTTTATATTATTTTGTCTTAATCTTAAATTTATATATTTGCTTTTATAGTATCATTTAGGGCAACTAAAAGCAAAATTAGCAAAGTATAGGTATAGTACATTTTATTATAAGATTTCTTTTATATTTATCACAACCTATATAATATATATATATATATATATATATATATATATATATATATATATATATATATATATATATATATATATATTCTTGTGATAATTATTTTATTTTAAATTTTTGCATTAATATTTCAGATCACAATTACTAGAAGCTCCAAAGACTGGTAAAAAAGGGGAAGGTTTTGATGTACAAAGGTTTATAAAAAAAGAAAAAAAGAATATTCTAAATTTATGTGAATTATCAAAGGAAAATTAAAAAAAAAAAAAAAAAAAAAAAGGAATTAAATAATAAATCATATAAAATTTTATCAATATATAGGCAAGGTGATGCAAGAATATGCTTAATAGGGTTTCCATCTGTTGGTAAATCGACATTGTTATCAAAAATCACCAGCACTACATCAGAAGTGGCAGACTATGAATTTACTACATTAACTTGTAAACCCGGTTATTAATATAAAATGTTATATTAGTTTTATAACAATAATATTATCCTTTATGTATATATTTTTTTTTTTTTTTACAGGAATAGTAAATTATAAAGATTCTAAAATTCAATTGCTAGATTTACCTGGAATTATTCAAGGTGCTTCAGAAGGTCGTGGTAGAGGAAGACAAGTAAAAAAAAAAAAAAAAATAAAATAAGATAAAATAAAATAAAAGAATTAATATGTTAAGAAATAAAGAAGATAAAATAAAAATTTTTCTTAAGTTAATTTACATTTTTTTTTTTTTTTTTTTAAAGGTTATAGCTGTAGCAAAATCGTGTGATATGATTTTGATGATATTAGATGCAACTAGAGATAATAGTCAAAAATTAAAATTAGAAAAGTAAATTTTTTATATTCATTCTTTCAAATAATTTTTATTTTATATTATTAACAATAAGAATCTTTGTTCTTTTAGTGAACTAAAATCAGTTGGAATAAGAATAAATGAAGAACCTCCAAGAGTAAATAATATTAGAATTATTGTTAATAATACTACATTACTAGAATTTTTGTTGTTTATTACAATTAAAAAATATATAAAATTAAAGATTAATTTTTTATTTTTATAATTTATAGATTACATTGACTAGAAAAAAAGTTGGTGGCATTGTTATAAATAGTACTGTCCCATTAACTAAAGTAATTATTTTAAATAATAAATTACTTTTTATTTCTTTGTTGTTTTTACTTTTTATATTTATTTATTTTTTTTTTTTTTTTTTTCCTTTATATTATTTACAGATGGATAACAAGCTTATAATGACTATACTTCATCAATATAAAATTCACAATTGTAATTTGTTATTTAATGAAGATGCTAGTGTAATTAATTTCAATTATTGAATTAAATATAAAATATATTTGTATAAATATTTTTATGATTTTTTTTTTTTTCCATATTCTTAGGTAGATGATCTTATTGATGTTATAGAAGGAAATAGAAAGTACATAAAATGTATTTATATTTATAATAAAATAGACATGTTACCTTTGAAAGAAATTAATTCCATTGCCTCTAAGTTAGTTGAGCTTTTTTTTTTTTTTTTTTTCTTTATTTTATATTATATATAAAAATAAGAAAATGAATAATTTTTATCTTTATTTTATTTATACACATATATATTTAGAAAATATTTATTTCTTGATATCATTGTAGTGATAATACCATAGTTATAAGTAGTAGCAAATCATGGAATTTAGATGTTTTAAAGGAATATATATTTCAAAAATTAGAAATTATTAGAGTATATACAAAACTTCGTAAAGAAAAACCTGATTTCAGTAATCCTATTACATTAACTAGGCAAAGAGGTAATAAATAAAAAAAAAGAAAAAAATTATCTGAATGTATTTTTTTTTTCTCTAATTGTATTTATTTTTGAATTGCAAATTTTTACTATTTTCTTTTAATATCATTTAATATAAAATAATATTTTTTTTTTTTTTTTTTTTTTTCTATTTAGGAAGCCAAACAGTGGAAGCTGTTCTTAACCAAATTCATAAAGTAATAATAAATAGTTTTTTTTTTTTTTTTTTCTATCCTTTAGATATATGAACTTTAATATAAAAATTATTAAATAAAAATAAAAAAATTTTTTTTTCAGGATATGATTAAGGATTTTAAATTTGCATTAGTATGGGGGAGAAGTACTAAACATAATCCTCAAAGAGTTGACTTACGTAAGTTCAAAATAAAATATATATTTTTGAAAATGTATAAAAAAAATTTTTAATTTTATATTCATCTTTCATTTATAATAGATCACAAATTAGCTGATGAAGATGTTGTTCAAATAGCTAAAAATAGCTGAGTACAAAACATAAAATAAAATTGTTTAATGAAGATTTCATATCTCTATTATTTTTACCATTGTTATTTTAATCATAAGAAATTTATAATTGCAGTAGATATTAACAATAATATTATTTATCAATATATTTATCCTTTTTTTTATGGTTGTTTTATTATTTTATTTTTTTTTTAAGCTATTACATGAAAACAATAAATATTCAATGATTTCAATATTCTTTTTTTGTATCCACATTTTTAAATTTAACTTATTACTTTATTTTATTTTATTTATTTTATTTATTTACTATTTATTTTATTATTATTTATTTATTTTTTTTTTTTTTTTGTGTGTATTTCCAACTATTTTTTTTTTTTTTTTTAAATTACTTATATTAATTTGAATGCTTTTAACTTTTTTAATCGGAGTAAAAAGCGAAAATAAATTTTATATTCTTAAAAATTTATACAGGAGTTTAGTTTAAATTTCAAATACACATTAAAAATAAAAAGTAAATGAATATTATATGTTAAAATTTATTATTATTATTATTTTTTTTTTTTTTTTTTTTTTTTTTTTTTTTTTTTATCTATGCAATAAGAGCGCTAGCTGTGCTTGATTGGTATTTCCAGTTTGATGGTAATAATTTTTTTCTTTTATAATATCTTGATATTCTATGTATTTTTGATTCGGTTAAGATTAATCTAAATTTGCAATCTTTATCTTTTTTATTTTTTTCAAGATGTTTTCTCATTGAAACAGCTTTTTTTATTAAAAAATACAAATCTTCAGGAATAGTTGTAGCCACTCCGTGTGCTCTTAATATTCTTAAAATTTTATTACCTGTAACTGATTTCACTTGTGGTATTCCATAATTATCTCTTAATGTTGCACCTATTTGTGATGGAGTTTGTCCTTTTTTAGCTAACTTAATTATTGTATCTTCAATTTCTGATGGTTTTTGTTTTAACCAACTTGGTTGTTTTCTTTTGTATGGAACAGTTGAACTTGATATACCTTTTCCTTTTCCGTACATACGACCCATTTTTTTCCTATTTTTAAAAAAGAAATTTATAAATGAGAAAATAAATTATGTTTATATATATAGGTAAACAAATATTAATAATATTTGCAATTATTTATTTAAATTTTGTAAAAAACTACGATTCTACTTATGAAAACAAAATAATATTTTTTTATTTAAAGATTCACTTTAATATTTCAATTTTCAAAATTAATATATACAAATATTTAAATAAAATGTAATGTATAATAATTTAACATTTTTTTATATATATATTTAATCATTCATATATGTTATTAATCTCAATACATTGTATATATATATATATCTATATTATTAAATACCTTAATTTTAAAAAAAAAAAATTTGAAATAATGGAAAGATTTCTTTTTCTTTTTAAATTTTCAGCAAGTTTTTTAAAAAAAAATTGTTCTTTTTATGTTTATATTTTATTATAATATATAAAAAAAAAAAAAAAAAAAATTTCTTATTATTTATTTTATTTCTTATAATTTTATATGAATTTTATGTTTTTTTTTTTTTTAATTACTCATCTTCATATAAATAAAAGTATTTTTTTTTTTTTTTTTTTTTTTTTTTTTTGGATATACGTGAAAGTGTATTATATATCTCTTTAATAGATTATTAATAATAAGAACATAAATATATAAATATTAATATAAATAAATATACGTAAATATATATATGTACCATATATTAATATAAGGTGACTAAGGGGTACATTTAAAAAACCTAAAACCTGCTCTTTTGAATTTATTCTTTTTTTTTTACAATGATAATAATAATTAGTATCCTTTTAAAATTTTTTTTTATTCTTTTTTATCCTTAGATTTTATTTTATAAAAATATAAAATTAAATTAACCTTTTTTTCTTTTTTTTATGTTAAATATTTTATATTAATATTTTTAATTTTAACATTTTATACTTTAAAAATTAAAAAAAAAAAGTAACGGTTTTTATAAGAAAAAAAAAGAAATACCTTTTTTTAAAATAAAAATACAATTTTCGCTTGCACCCAAAGGAATATATAAATTTTTTTTTTTTTTTAATTACTTACAAATTCTTTTTTTTTTTATACCATAATTTTTGAAATCTCATTTTCTTTTAAAAAATAATATTTAAGAATTTATTATTAAAAATTTTAAAATGTTCTGAAAAGTTTTTTTTTTTTTTTTTTTTTTTTTTTTTTTTTTTTGTTTGCATTGTATAACATATAACTGAAGTATTTTAGATCATATATAATTTTACGGTAATATTAAATTTATCGTTATAAAATATTTAATTTTTCTGAAAGAAAATTAAATAAAAAGCAAATAAATAATAATTAAATAATATATATTCATGAAAAATAAAAAAAATATTATATTTTTATATTTACTAAAGAAAAAAGAAATGAAAATGTGTAAATACATAATTGGAAAAGCAAATTAATTATGTTGTTTCAAAAAAATTCTTTAAAAAAAAAAGCATATATATAATATAAAAGGTAAATTATGTGTCAATATTTCAAAAGATTATAATTTGAATATTTTTTTTAGTATATGAATAGTACTGTAAAAATTTATCGCAAATAAATTTTACTAAGTAATTTTATAATTACATATATATGAAGTTTTAATATTCTTAAATTTAAACATTTTGGAATCTATTATAGAATATAAAAAAATACCATCTTAAGGATAAAAAAAAAAAAAACTTAGACAATTTTATATTTTTAAAAGGTGAACAAAATTTTTTTTTTGTATCTGTTTTTTAAACATAATTAAAAATTTATATTGGCTAAAGAGATACTTGTATAATAAAAATTAGAAATATATAAAAAAGAAAAAAATAACAAGATAAAATCATTTAAATATTATAAATATTTAAAATCTATAATTAATATATGAAATTTTGTTACCTTTATAAAAATACTAAAGATAGTTATTTATGTTTTTTATTTTATCAAATTTTTTTTTTTGTATTTTTTTATATTTATCAAAAATTTACGAAGAAAAGCATAAATTGAAAAAAATTAATAAAATATATGAAAAGAATGTTTTATTAATTTTAAAAATAGTTCAAGTTTGTATTTTATTATAAACATATTACCTGATTATGTTAAGCACACAAAACACTAAAAAGGATCTCAAAAATGAAAAAGAATTAATACCATGCTTATTTTCGTTAGAATATTAAATAAAATAAATGAATTTCTTTATATATATATATATATAAAAATATATATTTTTTATACAGTTGGTGTGAAGGTGGAAGAGAGGTATATTTAGTTGGATCTTTTATAAATTGGGATATGAATAAGAAATTAAAAATGGATAAGTGTAATGGAGAGTTTTTATTAACTTTACTATTAGAAAAAGAGATATATACTTATAAATTTTTAGGTAAAAAATTAATAGTTCTATTTTTTAAATATTTTTTATGTTATTTTTTTTTTTTTTTTCAATATTATCTTTTTTCAATTCTTTCATAAATTTGTAATTTCAAAAAATACATATTTATGATTTATATTTATAAAATTGTTTTTTTTTTTTTTTTTTTTTATGTTAGTTGATGGTCAACTAAAATGTAGTTCATCTGTAGCTACAATGAGAAACTCTAACGGTGATATAAATAACGTTGTTGATATGAAAAATTATATTCCTTTTAATTTTGAATTAAAAAAAGATCAAATATTTCAAGTAATTACATAAAATTTAATAATTATTTATATAAATAATAATAAAAAAAAAAAAAATAAATAAAATTTTTTTTCCTTCAAAGTGTTATAAGAAAATATGGAAATATTCTAAACAAAATAATTTTGATATTGTTTCTAGAATTACACCAATTCCATTATATTTAGAAAATAGGTATTTAACTGTCAGCATATACTATTAAATATATATGTATATATATATATATATATAGACGTAGAATATTTATTTTTTACTATTTACAGTCGTGATATAATAAAACTTAATTTAAGTACTCCTAGCTTTCTTAGTGAATCGTTATGTAACCACATGTACTTTGATACAGATTCATATAAAAATTATAGGTTTTTTTTTAAATTTCATTAAAAATTTTGATAAATTTTATTTTAAAATTATTATTCTATATTTTCATTCCATTGTTCTAAAATTAAAATGATTTTAAAACCTATTTATATTATTCATTTTCTATATTCTATATATTTTGTATAGCTCAAATATCATAGAAGTGTGTGTTGTTGTAAAATCAGAATATAATTGTAAAAAAGGAGAGAAAAGAAAAATGTATAAATGAAAAAAATAAATAAAAAAAAATTCTAAGAATTTATTCTTTATTTTTTTAATTTATTGTTTTTATATTTTTAGATTAACAAAATATAACATTTTATCATACTTCCCTACTTCAAAAAATGACGATTTTGTGGGATCACCTTCATATAATCCACTAAAACATTTAATATCATTTAATCATTAAAATACTTAATTTTCTATTTAACTTTTTTTTTTTTTTTTTTTTTTGTTCATTTATTAAATATTCGATATATATTTTTTTTTTATATTTAATTATCTTAATTTTTTTTAAAAAATAAAGTATTAATGGCAATACTATTTTCTTGTTTTAACTTAAAAAATTAATTTATCAAATCCTAATGTTATAATTTTTTATTTTCATTTTTTTGGTATCCACACATCTATTTTTTCCTTGCATAAAAATAGAAATACAAAAAAAAATTTACATAAATTTTCACCTTTTTTATTGTAAAAAAAAAAAACAAAGATTATTTTATTAATTTTAAAAAATAATATTTATTAATATTTTTTAATTACTTTTTTTAATAAATAAAAAAAAAAAAAAACTAAAAAAAATTTTCCTTAATTGAAAAAGCAACCTGTTTTCCGAAAATTTATTTTATAATTATAACAAAATGTAACAATCTTAGATCTAAAACTGATTTACATTTTAAAAAAAAAAAAAAATATATAAATATATATATAATTAAAAATTTAAATATAATGTGAAAAATAAAATAATTTGTATTTATTTACACAAAATTTTAAAATACTTAAGGAAAAAAAAAAAAAAAAAAAAAACACAAAATTATAAATTTTTTTTAAACAGAAAATAAAAGAAAGAAACTTGAATGAAATACTTAATAAGTTTCAGAGTTTTACATATAATTCAGTTAAGATTTTTACAAAAGAATAATACCCCAAAATAAATTTTTTTTAAATATAAATAAGAATAATTAAGATATATATGAAATATAAATCTGTAAATGTTATTATTTGTACATACATAAGCATAGAAAAATTTAAAGCTACTGTTAGAAATTTTTAAGGTAATATATATATATATTTTTGTAAAATTAAAAAAAAAAAAAAAAAAAAGAAAAAAAAATATTCATAAAAACGTTTAAGTACATATAAGTATGAATAAATTTATATTTACGAATTATATTAACTTTTGAATGATAAAATTATTGTTTTTTAACCTAAATTTAATATGTGCATATGTATCTTATAAAAAAATGTATAAAATAATAATTTTTTTTCCTTTATTTTTTTTTTAAATAAAACTGTTTTGTATTTTTTTTTTTTTTTTTTTTCAGTTTTAAAAATATTTTAAGATATTCTTCATTAATAACAAAAATATATTTATTTTTGAAAAAATTCTCAAATTTTTTTTTTTTTTTCAATTATTTAAAGCAAAATGGGGCTATATATTATTCCTAAAAAGATTATCCATTTAATAAATATAATAGTATGTATTATATGTCCAGCAATAAAAACCCACAATTTACTTTTACTTAAAAAAGAGAAAATAAATGAGGAAAATCTTCAATATATTCATTTTTTAACGTATTGGATTTTATATTCATTTTATTCCTATATGGAAAGTGTATTAATAATACATTTTATGAATTATATTCCATTTTATTATGAAATAAAATTGATACTTTTTTTCTGGCTATATAGTGATACATTTCAAGGGGCAGGATATTTATATTTTAAATTCATAGAAAAGAATTATATAATTTTGGATAAAAAAATTAGTGATTTAATCGAAAACAAATTAAATAAAAATATAACAAGTTTTTTTAATTTTGATAAATCTAATAATAATATTCATAACAAAATAAAAACTACTGTTTCAAAAAAAGATTTATATTCAGAATAAGATAATGTACATATATGTTAATTTAGAAAGCTAATATTTTAAAAGGAAAAAGAGACAAAAATAAAATTTAATTAAAACTAATAGATTCATATCAATAAAAAAAAAAAAAAAAAAGTATGATAAAACTATAAAAATATTAATATATCTATTTAAATTAATATATATATTTTATAAAAAGAATAAAAGAAAAAATACATAAACTAATATGAGTGTTTTATTTTTTTATTTTTTTCATACCTTTTTTTTTAATTTTTATATATCTTATATATTCATGTATTTTTCTTTTTATTTTACTATTTAAAAATAAAATTGTAGTTTCTTGAAAAAAAAAGGGAAAATTAATTATTATAGACACTTTATATATATTTTTATAACACAAAAAATATTTATTTTATATTTATTTTCATGATATATAATATTTGTTTTAAATTTTATTTTTTTAATTCATTCATAATAAGAATAATATCAACTTATTTTTAATTTTTTTTTCAAAAACCAATAACTAAAAGATTTGTTGCAAATATAAAATATTTAATTTCTCTTTTAAACAATTTTACACAACAAAAAGTGAAGTATCTTTCTATATTATTATAAAAAAAAAAAAAAAAAAAAAAAAAAAAAAAATTATATTTTAGTTTTATAATCTAGAAGAAAATATGAAATAGTCATATGAAATTTAAAATTATTTTTTTTAATCATTAAATTAAAAAAAAAAAAAAAAAAAAAAAAAATTAATTATATTGGACATATATTTTAAATTATAAATTTGAAAAAAAAAAAAATTAACATATAAAGACAACTCTTTTAAGTAAAATGTATATGCTATTTTTTTTTAATTTTTTTTTTTTTTTATCCTATAGTATTGTATTTATATATATGTATATTTCATTTTTAATATATACAGATATATATATAATTTACTAATTTTCCCACATTAAAAGAAACTTTAATTTAAATAAACTTCATCATTAAATGTGGAAGGAGGGTAAGCACAATAATAGTAACCATAATTTCTATTATTTAAATTATAAACCATCGGATCATTAGCTAATGGGTTGATAGGATATTGTTTGTTAATATATAATTCCATATCATTAGATAATGGTTTCATTATATTTTTTTCATAATTTATATTTTGTGGATTTGCATTTACAATATAACTATATACTGATGATGGATTTACATAGGGTTTTGATTCTTGCACATTTTCAATGCTTATATTTCTATTATTTCTTTGATAGTCAATATATTCTTGATTATTCATATATATTTCTTTTTTATAAGATTTTTTTTTATTATTTAATGTAACTAATCTTGACATTTTTTTTTTGTTTTGTTTATTTTCTCTTTTATTATATGTATTCATTTGCTTTATATTCTCTTTATGTTTTATAAGATCATTTTCACTTAAAAAATTAGAGTTTTTTTTTTTATTTTCTTCGTTTTTTCTATCATTCATATTTGTATTCACTCCATATTCTATATTCATGATGTTATTTACATTATTATTTGTTATTTTTCTTACATATGAGTATTTATTTCCTTCAATGTTTCCTCTTTTTTCTTTTATCTCCTTACTATTATATTCGTAATTATTTCCCCTTGTGTTTCCTTCATAATTTATATCATTTTCATATATTTTTTGTATATTATTTTCATTACTATGTATTTCTTCATCTCCATTTACATAATCTACACTTAGTTCATCATCTTCATCTATATCTCCCTCACCTACTTCTTCATCTTTTATTTTTTCATCATTCGTTTCTTCATTATTTGTTTTTTCATCATTCGTTTCTTCATCACTCATTTCTTCATCACTCATTTCTTCATCATTTATTACTTTATCTTGTGCATCATCTTCATTTATATCTTCATCATTTTCATTTTTCTCGTTTATTTCACTATAATATATTTCTTCATTTACGTCTTCATCATTTATATTCTCATCGTTTATTTCTTCACTATTCATTTCACCACTGTACGTCTGTTCATAATTTACCTTATCATCTATAACTTCTTTATATCCTTTTTTTTTATTATTTATTTCTTCTATACCTTCATCTGTTTCTTTTATTTCATGAATAGTTTTATTTATTATACTTTTGTTTATGCTTTTATTATAATTTATATTTTCACAACTCATATTATTATTTACTTTATCAATCATGGCAAATTGTCCGTAGTTGCATGAATTGGGATAATAATATAAATAATTAGCGTAATAATTAGTTGGCATATATGGTATGTTGTTTTGATGATCATACATAAGAAATTCATTTGGTTTTATATATTGTGAATACTGATTAGACATATTAGCTTCATTTTTACACATTTTACTATTTAGTTGATTATAATTAAAATATGGATTAAATGTATTAAGTTTAATTGGTATTTTACTATATAATAATGTATTTGGAAAATTATTTGCATAATTATAATCTAAATAGTTTATTTGATTTTCCATACCATTTATATATTCGCTATTATTTGTATAATTCATATTATTTATCATTTCAGAATTTTCTCTATTTTTTCCTTCACTACGGTCTTTGTTTTTATTATTTTTTTTTTTGTTTTTACTTTTATTTCCTTTTGTTTTAGTATCATTTATGTGTTTTTCTGAAAAGTTACTAATATTTTCTTCTGTTTTTCCATAGCATTGATTTAGATCAACTCTTTCATATGTGTTACTTATATTTGTTTCATTTATCTTGTTTTTTTCTTCACCCATATAATTTAAGCTTGAAGATATAGTTGTATTGCTATCAAAAGTTCTTTCTCTTTGATCATTATGTTTATTAGGTGTACTGTTAATTACATTTATGTCCTTATTAAAATCATTCTCATTTTTGTTATAATTAAAATTTTTTAATTTTAATTGTTTATCTTTATTTTTATTTCTAATTTTTTCTTTTCTTTTTTTTTCACCTTTATGATTTACTCCATTATTTTTGTATACATAATTATTATTAATATTTTTCATTATATTTGCATTGTTGTATTCATTCATTAAGTTCAATGCGTTAAAATTATTTATCATCGTATCAAGATTTTTATTAAAACTATCATTGTTATTATTATTATTGTTATTATTATTATAATTATTGCTATTATCTTTATTTATGTAGTTTCCATTATTATTTATTTTATTTACATTATTATCTATACAAGTTAAATTATTTTGCATATCTATTTGTGTGTTCTTCTCTAATAAAATATCTGGAATTCTTGGAATTCTTAATTCATCTATTGAATGAGCAAAGCGACATGTAGACCCATTTAAACATGTATTATTTGCCACAAATTTACACATAGAAGATTTGTATGCAAATAAATTTTGTGCTGATTTTAATTCATCTTGGTTGTGAGCATAATTGCATTTTTTATTAAAGCATTTCTCTCCTTTTAACAACTTATAACATAGTTTAGTTCTTTTCAAATCTGGAATAGATCTTAAATCTTCAATTGAATGAGCATAATCGCAATTATTTCCTTCTTTACATCTATTTTCCATATGTAAAGGACATAGTTTAGTTTTCCAAAAATGTTGACGAAGAGTTACTGACATTTTCATTTTTTTTTAAAATAATTACAACTATATTTAATTATAAGAAATATAAAATATGTATAGATGAAAAAATAAAAATTATAAATTAATTTTTAAAATATAAAAATTATAAATTAATTTTTTTATAATCCTATTTGGTTAATGGAAAAAATATTATACTTAAATGATAATTATTTTTTTAATCAATTTTCCATAAAAAAATTATAAAAAGAAGAATATAAATTTAACAAATCAATCAAATAAAAGAAAAAAAAAAAAAAAAAAAAATTGGACAAATTATATAAACAAAAAAAAAAAATCGAGAATATTAATAAAACAAAACAAAAAATAAAATTTTATTTCAACTATATGAACAAATAAATAAAAAAAATTATGAAGAAACAATATAAAATTGGCAAATTCCTTTTATTGTAAATAATAAAAAGTTTTATTTGCTACATTTTTTGACAAATTATGTATTTAATAATATTCTATCAAAACATTTAGATTGTTTCTAATTGTCTTTATATAAAATTTAAATAAATAATTATTTATTAAAAACAATTTTATAGATTTAGGAAGTTTATTTAATTTCATTTAATTAATAAAAAAAAAAAAAAAATAGAAATATTTTGGAATTTTTTTAAAAATTTTATTGATTACTAAATAAAAAGTAAAAAATATAAAAAAAAAAAAAAAAAAAATATTACATAGGACCTAAGATGCATTTTTTATTGTCTTATTATTTTATTGTAGTTTATTTTTTTTTTTTATTTTTTTGTGTAGTTAATGACAGAATAAATATATACATACATACATACATACACACACACACACACACAAAAAAAAAAAAAAAAAAAAAAAAAAAAAAAAAAAAAAATAGTGCCTATATTAATTCTGTATTTGTTCATAATTTTTTTTTTAATACTTTTGTATACACATCCAAAATTTGATGAAGAAAATATCTCAAATGTATGAATACTAAATAGAATTATAAATGAATAATAATATATACATTTACTACATATATGATTATGACATACAAAAATAAGAATTATTCACTATCAAAATATTAAAATACATTATCTACGTATTTTTGCATTTAAAAAAAAAAAAAAGAAAAATACAACAATTACAGTGGAAAGAACTAATAAGAAGAAATATAAAGAATAAAAATAACAAAGAAAAGAAATTATTAAAATTGATTTTCTATTCTATAATATTTTAATTAAAATTTAAATTTATTTACTTTTCTTATCAAAAAAAAAAAAAAAAAAAAATACACTTTTTATTATAGTTCTATTCATTCATATTCTATGTTTATTGTATTCTTATGACTTAAATTTTTTTCTTTATTTCATAAATACTTTGGACATTTAATATATAAAAAAAAAATATAATAATACCTATATAAATAACTAATTATCTCTTTTCTATGTTTATTAAATGATTTAATTTTTTCATATAAATTTTTATTTTTAATGTTTAAAAAAACTTTATTCCACTTAATATAATTAAAATTTAGCAGAACTATTACTTAATTTACATTAAAGGGGGCAAATTTACGAAAAATTATTTCCTTAAAATTTTATATAATATTAATTTTCGTAACTATAAATACTTCTAATTAATGGAGAATAATCCTTATATATATATATATTAATAAAAAAAAATGTTTCATTCTGTGATTTAATGGCATGCAATATTTATTAAAAAATTTTATTAAAACGCAATCAAAATCAAAAATTATGTTACAAGTGTATTTTATATTAAAATTAATCTATATAAATAAAAATGCAGTTTTCACTTTTTGTGATATAATTATGAAAAAATGACATAAATAACAAAAAAAAAAAAAAAAAAAAAAAAAAAATTTTACATATAATATATTTCATTACAAAAGGAAATATTAAAATTTTTATTTTCACAAATATAAAAGACAATCAAATATATAATAAAGTAAAACCCTTAAAATTCCTGATTCATGGTTTAGTTTTAATATTTTTTATATTATTCTACATTATATTTATATAATTTTTTGATTATTCCTAATAACATATACTCCTGTCTACATATATATATATATATATATATATCATTAGCAATTATTTTTAATTCATAGTATTAATATTACTATATGTTATTTATCTTTTTTGCACATATAAGTCATATTTTTGAACTTATATTTTGTTTTAATTTCAACTTTTATTTTTTAACTTCATAATTTTTATTTATTCATTTTTTTTTTTTTTACTTTAAGATTATTTTAATTTAAATGAATGTTATAATCTTAGCGAATCTATCTAATAATTAATTTGTTTTAATAATCTTCTGTCTTCATAGAAGTAAGACCTAGCATATCATTTTGTTCAAATGTTCTTTCATATTCTTCTTCTTTTAAATTTTCATCATCAATTTTATCACTAGAAATATAACTATTAGATGCTATATCATCAATTATCAAATCAAAAGGAAATAATTCTTCTGATTTGCATAATTTATATAAATTAGTAATTAAATCTTTAATTTTTTTAGTCATGGAATCATCATCGTTAATTATATCTTCTGTATTTTCATTCTTATTCTTGTGATTATATATATTAGAATCCCCAAGCAAAAATTTGAATTTATCTTCTAAAGATTCGATAATTTTTATGATTAGTCCTTCAACAGTGGTTAATGAACCACCAAGTGTACCATAATCTGAAGTTAAATCGATAATTGGAATATGAATAGATGCTGTTTCTGATTTAATTACAAATCTGTCTAAATCACTTTTATTTTTTACCGTGAGAGTAATTTTTTTCCCTTTAGGATTAATTTCTCCACTACTTTTTATTTCGCTTGTTTTAAAATTACAATTTGCGCAAACATATGATAAGATTAAACATTTTTTAAAACCTGGTATAACAATCTCACAAAAATTATTGGATCCTAAATAATTGCAACATGGACAATTAGATGTAAATGATTCAATTAATTTTTCTTCATCATCACTTGCAGTTTTATAGTTCATGGTTGCATTTTTATCATTATTATTAATATATTTTTTTATGAAATCGAAATTTTCCTTCTTTATATTATGTTCTTCATTTAATTTATTTTCACTATGATTCATATAGCTTTCTTTGCCATCTACACCTTTTTCTTCAAAATCTTCCTCATAAAAACCTAATTCATTTAATTCTTTTTTAGTCCTTTCATAATGTTCTATTGTAACTATATTATTTTTTATATCTTCATCATAATATTCAAGAGAGCTTAGTCCTGAAGGATCAATAATTTCAATGGTGAATGGGAATTCTTTTGATATAACATATTTCGATAAATTATAAATTGTTGACTCGATCATTTTTATGTAATTTTCTATTGTTATTTGTTTACACGCATTATTTTCATTAGAAGTTTCGTTTTTATTTACTTTATTGCTACTTTTTTTTTCTTCCTCTACATTATTTTCTTGTTTTTCTTTCTTTATATCTTTTTCATCTATCTTTTCTTTTTCCTTTTCTTCTTTTCCTTCTTTTTCTACTTCGTGAATATTTTCTTCATTACCTTCATTAGCTTCATTATACATACTTTTTATATTTTCTAAATAAACACTTAGATTATTTAACGCTGTTTGTATAAAACCTTCAATTGTATTGATAGATCCCTTTTGAGTTTCTTTCGGAATTTCAAAATCAATTTCAGGAATTTTTAAAATTCCATATTCTGATTTTATTAACTGTCTATCTAAATGTTCATCCTTTGTTACTTTAAAAATTATTTTTATACCCTTATCTTTTATAGTATTCAAATCTTGGATAACATTATTTTTGTAATTACAAAATTCACATTCAAAAGAATGTATTAAAACATTTTTAAAATAAGGTATCTCAATTTTAACAATTTTATTTATTCCTTCTTTTTCACAATTTATGCACATTGACTTAACTTCAATAGTATCATCTAACATATTTCCTTGTTGATGAGTATTATTTATTTGTATATCCTTTGGAATATTTTCCATTTAAAAAATAAAATAAAATAAAATAACAAATTGTGTTAATATAAATTTACTTCCTCTAAAAATAAATTTAAAAAAATTTCCTCAAAATTTATTTATTCAAATTTTTTAACAAAAGCAAACAATAAATATATATACATATATATATATAGGATTTTATTTATTTTTATAATTTTAAAAAATGTACGTTTTAAATTGTATTATTAATTTAAAAAAATGTTAATGTCATAAACAAGTAAAAAAAAAAAAAAAAAAAATAATTGATGATTTATTTGAAAAATTAAACCATCACATAATTTTTATTGTAAAGAAAAAAAAAAAAAAAAATGAAAAAAAATATGAAAAACTTTAAAAATAAAAATTCATTATATTCATAAATATTTTTTTTTTTTTTTTTTTGAATTATAAAAAGTTATACACCATTTGATTCAAAATACTGATAACTCTGTAATAGTGGAATGTCGTTATTGTTATAATAATAAACAATATATTTAATGATAATGAAGCATATAGAAAAAATTACAAAGTAAAATAGAATATAATTAACAAACAAATAAGAAAAAACCATAAATGCCATATATATGATTAATGCTATCAATACCCATTTCTAAAAATAAATAAAAAATAAAATTTATATAATTAACGGTAATAAAAAAAGTTTTACTAATTATAAATTTGAATACAAATTTATACAAAAATAATACATATATATATATAATTAAAAAAAATATTTATTTTATTATATATATGGTATAATATTCTAAAAGTTTTACTATTATTTTATTTCTGTCAAAATGCATTTCACTAGATAAAAGCTCATTATAGTTGTCATGTTTGTTTTGCATATTATCACTTGTATATAATAAATTATATATAGTTGAATTTCTAAAAAAAAAAAAATTCAGATAGCATTGAAAAATATTATAATACTATTCATTTAGATTAATAGACGTTCTTTTAATTTATACATAATTTTTCCAATTAAATATTTATACATTTTTGTTTGGTTAATAAAGAAACACATTGAAGAAATTAATGATACAATTTTTTTTCTTATTTTTTTTTTTTTATATTCATTAATTAAAAATACGTAACTAAATAAATAAAGAAATGTATTTTTAAGAACCTTTTAGCTAAATCTTGCATCGCATTTTTCATTAAACTTAAGGTATTTTTAAAAATGTCTCCTAATCTGTCCAAATCTACATTCCTACTCATCTAAAAAAAAAGGAAATATATTGAAAAAAATAATAAAATTTTATTATGGTATTTATTTTAATATCATTAATTTATTTTATTTTTGTATAAAAATCATGCTAAATTTTTTTATTACTATGATTTTAAGGTGAAAATTTTTTTTATTTAAATAAAAGAGTATTTTAATATTTATGAAATTTTAAATTTATTTATTTTCACTTCTAATTAGACATTAATATTTAGATAATTTAAGAAAAGTAAAAAAAAAAAAAAAAAAAATGAAAAAATATTTTAGCTTATTTAATAAATTTTTTATGAAAAAATAGTTGGACAAAAATTTTATTTTTTTTTTGATAATATATCTAATATAATTCTTTTAATTTATGCATTGAAAAAAAAAAAAAAAAAATACACAATTTATTCTTTACAATTATAAATATATTTTACTAATTAAATATGTGTACATATATTATGCTTTTTTATATACATATATAATGTATATATGTGAATTTTTAATAAATTTGCATTTTTGTTTTTTTTTTTTTTAAATGGATTAGAAAATATATTATTTAAATTTTAATACCTTTAACTATTTACATTATTACTTTTTTATTATAAAAATTTGAAATAGTAATTTACATATATATTTATATATATACTTGTATTTTTTTAATATTTTTAATTGTTTATATGTTTTCTTTTCATTTTTTTTAATGTAAATAATATATTTAATTAATAAATTATTAAATAAAAATTATCAAATAATTAATCAAAAGTTATATATATATATATAAATATTAAAAAAAGTTAAATATACCCAAAAAAATAATCAAAACGATTATACAAAGTAGCAAATAATAAATATTTAAAAGCATTTTTTTAATTAGTTAATTATTAAAAAATATAAACAATAAACATAATAAATGAATAAATCAAAAAAATACTCAAATAATTGCCTAAAAAAATTGAGTTATATGAATGGAGAAAATGCTTAATATATTAAAATATAACAAAATATATAGAACAGTAATATATATGTATATATATATATTTGTGTATAGTTATATGATGTCTTGATAGCTTAAAGAATACTTTTGTTAATAAATATAGAATATATTTAAAAAAATGTATAATGATTATTAAAGGATGAATATTGTAATTTTATTTTTCTTTTCATTATATTTTTTAAGAGGAAATTCATTTCATCATAACAAAATAATTTATAAAAAAATAAATACAGATAATAAAAGCATTATATTTAAAAACAAACATAAATTTTATCTCTTAAAAAAGGAAAAAAATATAAACCAGTTATATTCTATAAGGAGTCCTATATCAAACTTACTGAATAATCTGAATCCAACAAATGTAAGAAGAATAATTGAAGTAGTTCCATTTGATAAAATAAAAAATGTTTTTCATGGATATTTTTCATATTACAATAGTTTATTTAAAAAATGTAAGTTAGACAGAATAATTATAGCATTGAATACATTATTATATTTATATTTAAATCAAGTAGACAAAAATAAAGAAAAAAAAATTTTTTTTCATAAAGGGAGCTTATTAGAAGTAAAGGATGAACAAAGATGTGAAAAATACAAATGTAATTACAATGACATTTATAAGAATAGAAATTATAAAACTTTTTTTACTTCCATTTTCATTCATAAAAATATTTTACATTTATATTTTAATATGAGCTCTCTGATATCTATATATAGACTAATTTCATTAATTTATACTAATAATCAAATATTAATTGTATTCTTATTATCTGGTTTTTTATCTAATGTATTTTCTTACATTTATGATATGAAACAAAAAAATAAAAACGTTTTTTTAAAAGATGTAGTTGATCAAAATTATGTAAATAAAAATTATTTTATTAATAGAAGTAACAAAATTACATGTGGTAGCAGTTCTTCTATTTATTCTTTATATGGAATGCATATTACATACATAATATTTTTTTATTTTAAAAATCGATATATTATAAATACAAATTTTATATATAATTTTTTTTACTCATTTATTACTTCCTTACTTTTGGAAAATGTAAGTCATTTTAATCATATTTTCGGATTTTTATGTGGATCACTGTTTTCTTTTTTTATCATTTTATTTGATAAAAATTAGATTTTTTTTTAAAATAACATATGTTAAATTAATTTGAATAAATATATATATATGTTAAATGCATTTATTTATCTAAAAATATTTTTATAATTTTTTTTTTTTTAATAATAGTTTATAAAAAAATGTGAATAATAATATAAAAAAATATATATGATGTTGTTGTATAAAAAATAAAAATACATTTTTGTTTTTATCAAAGCATATTAAATACAAGTAAAAAAATAAAAAAAAAAAAAAAAAAAGGAATCAAATAAAACAAAAATTTTAAGTATTTTAAAATTCTTATAACGAAAAAAAATTATAAAAAAAAATAGACTACAAAATGCCATTCAATATATAAATATAATTAAATATTATGAAAGTGTATATTTATTCATAAATATTTATGTAAAATTATATACAAAAAATTGCAAGAAAAATTTATTACAATACTATTAGATAATGTAAACAAGCATTTTAAAAAAAAAAATAATTTAATATATTTTTGTAAAAGTATTTATTTATTAAATTAGAAAAACAAAAAAATATCATTTATTTAAACTCATTTAATATAGCATCTAAATTATCATCATCATAAGCATGAGGATTATTTAATAAAAGTATTTCGATGTTTTTATTTTCAAAGAAATCTAAAATTGTCTTTTTTGAGTTTAGAATATATTTAATCTTACAAAAAAGTAGCAAGAATAAAATTTTATTTTTTTTCAAATTAGTCAAATTTAAACACATTTCATCAAAATTTTTTAAAAAATAATTTTCTTCATATGGTAACAGATCTTTCTCATCAAATTTGTTATCTCCTAAAAAAAAAAATTCATGAATAAATAAATAAATAAATAAATAAATATATATATATATATATATTAAAATAAGAGAAAAAAAAAATAATAATTCCATTACATTATAAATAAAAAAGATAAATATTATTTATACCTTTATAATTTTTCAAAATAAAAAATAAACTACTTGGAATTAAGACAAATTTCTCATACAAATAAATTCTTTCATTTTCATCAATATTTTTTTTTTGATAAACAAAATTGTAAATTTGTTCATTTAATAGATAAAAGAAATAATCTATCATGGATAAAACAACTTCTTTATGTAAAGATTTACATAAATCTTGTATTTGAAAAAATTCAAAAATTATATTAATTATTTTAGAAGTATTAATTAAAAACTTTTCTTCAATAAAAATAATATCTTTTTTTAAAAGAAGAGAAAAATTTTGTTTATAAATTTTTAATAATATTTTTTTAAAACTGTTCATATTTATATGAAATTTATCAATGAATAAATGCACTTTTTTTAATATACCTATTTTATTTATAAATAAGAAAGTTTTGTTTCTTGAAAATTTTAAATATTTTTTTTTATTTTTTTTTATTACTTCATGTTTTTTACCTAATGAAAGGCATTTTAAATAGTTATCATCACTACTATTTGATTCAAATTTATTTATTTCATCATTTAAAAAAATAGTTTTCTCATTTGTGTCACTATTATGAGTGAACTTATTTTCATCGATAACTTTACAATTTCTTTCTAAATCAAAAATATCGAATATAATATCCTTTTCATTTATATGAAAATCAAATAAATCTTTATAATTTAAATAAACATTATTAATATTTTCTAAAACCTTCTTTAAAAATATATTGTCATTAATTACACTTAAAATTTCTTCTTCTTGTTCATTTTTCATGTTTATACGACAAGTAAATCGAAAAATATAAAATGAATAACTTAAAAAAACATTGTAAATATTTTTAATAACTTTATAAGAGAATAATATCATATTAATATTAGTAATATACTTCAATTTTTCTTTATCAAATTTTTCATCTTTAAAGTTTAGTTTTGAATTTTTTTTATCTACATCACTTTCTAATTTGTATTCTTTTTTATTTTTTTTAATTTCAATTAAAATTTTATATGATAAAAATACTATGCGATAAATAATAAATATTATATATATTAAGTTTTTATGAATTCTTATACAACTTAAATTATTTTTCTTAATAATTATATTTATGTTATTCACATTGGAGTAAAAGTTAAAATCTCTTTTTTCCTTTTCATGAGAATAAGACTTCTTTATTTTAATTGAGGTATCATTATCAGTATGATCTTCATTAGTTATTGTTATCATTTTATTTTCATTTGTTTTATTTTCTTTTTTTTTTTCAATGATTTTTTTAAAGTTATTTCTTTCTGTTATATTCTTTTCTACTTGTTCTCTTATATTTTTTTGAAATACTTCTTGCTTTTCTTCAATAAAATTCAATACCATATTATAATTGATTTCTTCTATATTTTTTAACTCATAACTATGTAAATCAAAAAAACAATTAAATATATAATCATCTATATTTTCATCTATTAAAATATACTCATTTTTTTTACTTATGAACATATCATTTAATAAAAAATATGTGTAGTTTAGATAATAAAAAAAATTATTCTTAAAAATATTTTTTATTAAAAGAAGAAATTTATTCTTTTCTTTTTTCCATTTATATATACAATATATATTATAAATATTACTTAAGTTATTTCTTTTTAAATTCATTTTATGAAAAGATGAAAATATATTTTCATTTAATTCTTTATTTAGTATATATAGAGAAAAATTCTGACTATTTTCTAACTGATTTTCTTCATCTTTTTCTTCTTCTTTATCTTCTTCTATTGAATTATATTTTTTCTTCAATTTTTTCTTTATATTGCTTAATTTTTCTTCATCGTTCAAATCAAGTTCATACTTATTAAAATATATATTGTTAATTTTTTCTTTATTTTCCTTATTTTCAAAATAAAAATTAAAAATATTTATGAATTCATCTCTATAAAAATTTTCTTCCATGTTCATATCGAAAATCTTTTTTTCTTTTTCATTAATAGAAAATAATAATTCTACAAAATTATAAAAATCAAGAAGAGATTTTGAAAAAACAGAAAAGATATCGAAATTTTCATTACTTTTTTCTATATCATCATTATTATTATTATGATTAATGTTATTATGATTAATGTTATTTTTGTGATCAACATTATTATTACGATTATTATTTTCGTCATCATTACAATTTTTATAATAGTCACTATTTATATTGTTATTACAATTTTCATGATTCCCATTTTTATAATTTACTTTCTCTTTATAAACGTCTTTGTCAATTTTTTCCTCATTTATACATGTATCACCAAATGAAACATCATTTTTCATTTTTAAATCTTCACTTTTTAAATGTTCTTTTTCTGAAAACTCTTCTTTGTATGAATTATTTTTATCTTCATATATTTTTTTAATATTCTTCATTGATATGAAAATATTATTAAAAAAGCTTTCCATATCAATAAAAATATGATATTCATTTTCCTCAATATGATCAATTAAATTTATATTGATAAAACAGAAATTTTTCAATTGTTCTTTCTCTTTGTTCGTAATATCACTATTATCTAATTTATCTATATAAAATAAATAACTTTTAAACTTTTCAAATAAATTAAAAGAATTATTTAAAAGTATATTCGAATTATTTCTTCTTATTACATTTGTAACAAAATTTTTTATATTTTCATATTTTAAAGAATACTTATTTTTTGCTTCAAAAATATTATTTAATATTTCTTCTACATTAAGATTTTTTATAATACAATATATTAAAACTAAAATTTTAAAGAAATGAAAAAAAATATGATTTTTTATTTTTTCTAAATATGTAGTATGTTCATTTAAAATATACGCAAAATGCCAAAACATGCTATAAGAAATTTTTTGTTCTTTTATATTCCCATTTTTTGAGATATCACTTGAATTTAAATATATATATTTATATATCATAATGTTGGTATTAAAGACAAACATTTTTTCAAAAATTACATCAAGTAGATTCTTTAAGTTATTCAATATATTATTATACTTAATTTTAACATCTTTCATGAAATTTATTTTGTTATTTAGTATCATGGAACTTGAATGTATGTTAAATAATTCTTTTAAATCATCCATCAATCTAAAATCAGTATTTTTTTCTTTATTATTAATATAGTTTAAGTTATTTTCATAGGATTTTTCTGAATGGTTTATATTTACAAAAGACGATGTTTCTCTATTTATGTTATCTGATAGTATAGTATTATTATTTGAATTAATTAAAATAACATTTTCATTAATATTTTTTCTTATTTCTTCGTTTGAAATTTTTTCATTTTCATTTCCGTTTAAAATATTTTTATCATTATGTATTTTTTTTATATATTTAAAGATAGCTTTTATTAATAAGATATGCTCCTTACAATTTCTTAAATAAATCAACGATTTAAAAATTTTTAATTTTTCATAGTTCTTTTCAGATTTCTCTAAAAAATGTATAAAATTTTTTAAACAGTTAAAGAAGTTTTTAAAAAATATCAATGAGTCATAATTTTTTTTTTTTTTTTTTTTAATTAAATATAATTCATACAGACTATCATTTCCTTCTAAATTTTTTTCATAATTCTTGATTTCCTGATTAAATTTTTCTAGTATTAAAAATTTATCACTATAATCATTTTTAATTTTATTTTTATTCATTAAGTTTTCAAGGTTTTTACTCCTCTTTTTTATCTCTTCATTAAATACGTCAATTAATTTATTAAAATCTTTAATTTCAATATTTTTTTTATTTTGTAGTATTTTTTTTATATTTATGTTGCCTATTTTATTATTTTCTAATATATTATCCTCTAGACTTTCTTTAATTTTTTTTTTTTTTTCTTCTATTTGTAATTTAGAACCTATTTTTATATTTTCTTGTTCACAACTTACAGATTCAGAATTAATTTCATTATTTAAATACTTTTTATTTATACTTGTATTTTCTGTATCAACATATTTGCTAATTTCACAATTTATATTTTCATTAGAATTTTCAACAGTATTTGTTTTATTTATGAAGGAACTTAAATAATTTATTGAATTGTTGTTAAATAAGTTTTCAAATAAATTCTTTATTTCTGCTTCATTTTTTTTTTCTTCTTTTTTTAAAGTTGTATTTTCTTTTATTTTTTTACTTAACTCTTTTAATTCATTCATAATTTCATTTATTTTTTTATTCTAATTTTGGGCTTTTTCTCAATTTCATCTTCACATTAACACTAACATATAACAATATTTAATATTTACTAAAAATAAAACAAAATAAAAAAAAATAAAAAAAAAATTTACAAAAAAAAGAATTAATTGTATTTTTTTATAAACTTTTGTTTGAAACTATTTCTATATTTTAAAATAAAAACATGCATATGAGTAAAAAAAATATGAATACTATTAAATTTTTTTTTTTTATTTACACGTTTTACTTATATATATATAGAAAAATTTTCATTTTATCGATATTAGCATGTTCATTTTTTTATTTTTATGTTTATTTTTTATTTTTATTTATTTTATTTTTTTTTTTAAAGGAACTTCAAAAGTTGCAAAAATTTAATAAAATAAACAAATAAGTAATTTTTCATTTTTTAAAATAATATATATTTAAATAATGAAATAATTAAATAATTTGTTTTACATTTTTTTAATGAAATTTAATCAAAGCATAAAAAAAAAAAAGAAATGTATATATAATAAATTTAATAATATTTAAAAAATTATTAAAAAAAAAAAAAAATTTAAATAAGAAATAATATAAAAAGTTAATTTGTTTTATTATATTAAATATATCAATCGTGAATTACAACATTTGTTATATTTTATGTATTTTATTATTTTTAATTAATTTCTATGAATTTTTAAATTTTTCTACAAATATTTTCTTTAAAGTTTATAGTTTTTTATTGAATGTATCTTTGAAAAAATGGCAAAAAAAAAAAATTACTTATCGGTTGATACAAGTAAAATAAAATTCGTTGAAAATTCTGAATCGGAAGATTTCGAAATTGAGAACGATAGTAATACTGAAAATTTTAATTCTGATGAGGAAGTGTTAAGTGATAACAATGAAGAAACAGATGATAACACTTCCATGATAGATTTAAAGGAATCAATAAATAACAAGAAAAAAAAGAAAATATCTAATTATGATGAAGATGAAGAAGAGGAAGAGGAAGAGGAAGAAGATGATGAAGAAGATGATGAAGAAGAAGAAGATGATAAAGACAAAAAAGATGATTATATCAAAATATCATGGAATAAAAATAAAAGAAATTATTATCAAAAGGAAAGTGAAGAATCATCAAGTGAAGATGAAGAAGATAAAAATGAAAGAATAAAAGAAGCTATTTATTTAAATAAAAAAGAAAAAGAAAATATAAATGAAAATGATTTTGATTTGCATAATATTTATATGAATGATAAGGATAACTTACAAACCAAAGATAAAGAAGAATGTGATTCCTATAAAGAAAAGGATATCGTTAAACAATTAATTAATGATATAAACGACGATTTAAAAGAAAAAAAAAAAGAGATAAAAATAGAAAATAAAGATAAAAATCAAGTTGAAGAAATAATTATAAGCGAGCAGAAAGAATATAAGATCCTTTTAAAAGAATTATCATTCAATATTCAAAAAGTTTTCAATGAAATTAAAGAAAATAAAAAACTATTTGAATTTAAAGATATTAATGAAAATAATGTTAGTCCTTCCGATATTAATAAAAATACTTTACTATATCTCAAAAAAAAAAATGAAACATTATTAACATACATAATATATATTATATATTATGTTTTTCTAAAGATTATGAATTGTTATAGTCATAGTCATCCAGTTTTAGATAAATTAATATATATGAACACTATCATATCTAAAACAAACGAATTAGATAGTAAAATAAAATTCAAAATTCAACAATTAAATAAATCAATGGAAAATAAAATGGAAGAAATAGATTCACCCAAAGAAAATGAAAAGAATATTTCCAAAAAGGAGAAAAAAAACAAAATCACTGAGAGAAAATTACAGGAAGATGAAGAAGATGAAGATGATAATGAAGTTGAAGATGAGGAAGAGTTAATTGATTCTGAAGGAGAAAATAATGGGGAAGATGTAGATAATGAGAATGAAAAGGATAATGAAGATACTGAGGATGATGAAGAAATAGACGACGAAAATGAGTTAGATAGTGAAGATAATGAAGATGAAGAAGATGAAGAAGATAAAGAAGAAGTAGATGATGAAACAGAAATAGATAGTGAAAATAGTGTAGATGAAAAAAATAAAAACAAAAAATACAAAATTAGTAAAAGTATTATAACAGAATACACAGATAGTCATATTAGAGAGAAGGAAAAAGAAGAAAAAAAAAAAAAAAGAGAAAAAATAAAAAATGAGAAAAATATATTTTTAAAAGAAATTAAAGATATGATTTCAAATAGACCAGAAAAAATAGAAGAAGAAAATTATTTAAAAAAGATGGAAGAAAAATTTATGAATTTTGATGAAAAAATTTTAAATAAAAAAATGAAGAAATTAAGCAAAAAAAAAAATAAAATGAATAATTTAAGTAACGTTGGAATGACAACAAATGATTTATTGAAGTTTGTTGAATTACCTGAAATGAACCAAGAAAATGATAAAAACAATGAAGAAAAAAAAATATTTAGAAACAATATTAATAAAATAAAGCAAATGAAGAAAAATAAATTAACAAATAATCCAAATGATGACTTTGTTTCTTTTAAGAAGTTTGACAAAAATAAAAATGTAAACTCTTCTTACAAAAGTCAAGACAAAAATTCAAATGTTACGTTTACAAAGGTAAATACAATAGAAGACGAAGGAATTAAAGACATGTTGAATTTTAAAAAAAAGAAAAAAGAAAAAAGAAAAATTCTCATGGATAATAAAAATAAAGAAATAAGAAAAAAATTAGTTGATGAAGAGAATGAAATTAATGAGAGAAGAATTCCAAATAAGAAAATTATACAAAATAAAGGATTAGTAAGAAAGAGAAAATCAACCGATGGAAATGCAAGAGTACATAATAGATTTAAGTTTATGAAAAAGATGAAAGTTTATAATAGTCAACATGCTAAATTAAAAGTTCATGATGATAACTACATGGGAGAAAAAAGAGGAATAAATCCATTCTTGAAAAAGTCAATAGATATTAAATAAAATTTAAATGAAAAAAAAAGAAAAAAAAATACAAAATATATAAACATCTATTGTAAATTCATCACCTTTTTACTTTTTTTTTTATTAATTTTTAACTAAAATGTATGATAATATTATATAAATAAAATTTGTTTTATTTTAAAAAATTTTATGTTATCAAAATTTTAATTATCTAAAAATCTCTTTTTACCATTTGTTATATTAAAAAATTTTATTATATTTTGTTATCTTTTTTTTTGCTTTTAATTTACACATGTATATATATTTAATTAATATTTTCACAAAAAAAATTAAATAAAATAGGTTATAACTAAATTTGATATGTATTATAAGAAATAATTTGTTGTCATCTTGCTTAACTTTTATTAAAATTAAAAAAAAAAATTAATAAATTAAATAAAATAATCTTTATTATTAATAATTCTATTATAACTTAAAATAATGAACAGTTTCTACGTATAATATTTTATATTTAAGCACGAAGTTTACTTTTTTTAAAAATATTCAAAGAAACAAAAAAAAAAAAAAAAAAAAAAAAAAATATAAAAATAATTTTAGCAATAATAAAAAAAGTATCTACGTAAAATATAATAAAATAAAAAAATTTAAATATGTATATAAAAAAAAGGGAAATTAAAAATGATTAATATAAGGAAATATTGAAAATAAAAAAAAAAGTGATTAAAAAAATGAGTGTAATGAAATTATTACGTGATATATTTTTTAAGAGTTTAAAAAATATGAAACGTTAAAATTAAATTATAAATTTTTTATATATTCATTTATTTATTTGTTTTAATAAGATGGTTAAAAATGTTTATTTTTTTTTGGTTTATTTAGTGTATTTTTTTCGTATGTTTTCAGAATCATTAAGAATGCAAAAAAATTTATTTAAATATATTAAACCTATTTCAAATAAATTTAATTTAACAAAAATTAGAAGAATAAATATATTCAGAAAAGAAAAACAAATAAAACAAGTGAATATTTTAAATGATGTTGTAAATAAATATATTGGTATAACATGATAAATCTATGTTAAAATAATCATAGGCTAAAAATTTTTCTTCTTTATACTATTATTACTTTTCCCTATCATTATATATATATGTATATGTAGACTTATTTATTCATTTTATTTATTTTATTTTATTTTTTTTTTTTATTATAGGTCTTGAATTATTTTTTACGAAATTGAACAATGTAACAAATAACAAAGAGAAATTAAATTATATAAAATTTTTACATAAAATAATTGAAGATAAAACATGTGAGCACATAATATTCAGTAGTAATAATTATATGAGAATAATTATTTACATTTTAAATGAGAGATTTATGCTAATTAAAAAAAATGAAGAAAAAAATGAAAACCTTGATTATGAAATAATATATAGACTACTGTTAATATTCAAAAATTTAACAAAATATAAAAATTTTTATCACATTATTTTAAACAATTATACTCATAAAAACATGAAAGTTTCCTTACTTTATATTATTATGAATATTCTAAGTGGGAAAAATAACAGTGAAAAATATAAAGAAGCTAATTCTATTTTTAATTATTTCACGTCTTATTTTAGAAATAGTGATGATGCAAAATATTATATTGCTGATAATACATCTGTAAATGATTCCAAATTAAAAACAGATAATATTGAAAAAAGTGAAATTGATGAAATGAAAAATGAAATATTTAATATAGGAAGAAACATTCTACTGAAATTAAAAGATGAAAAAATAAATATTGAAAATAAAAAAAACGAACAAAAAGTGACAAAAGAAGAAATCATTAAAAATGATAAAGAATTCAAAATAGAATCGGCAGACAAGGTAACTATAAAACAAGAAAAAGAAAAAATAGAAATGAAAAAAGAAGAAAATATTACCGAAATTAACATAACAAATAATAATGATAAAAACAAGTTTGACGAAAAAGAAAACAAAGAAAGTTTTAACAGAAATGAACAAATTTTAACAAATAAAAAAAAAGAAGAACAAAAAAGCATGGGAAAAATAAATAATTTATCAGGAAAAAATCCAGATGAAGTAAGTATTGACTTTAATAATGTAATTTATAAAAAACAAGAAGGAAGTAATAATGAATATTCGAAAGAAATTGAAAAAAATAATGATACAAACGTGAAAACAAGTAATGAATTAGAATACAAACAAAATTATGGAGAAAAAGATAAGGAATGTATTAATAATAAAGTAAATGAATTAATTGATAGTTTAGAAGAAAATGTATTATTTCTTCCATTTTATTTTAATAAAAATTCGAAAGATAATATTTTAACTAGTATAATAGTTAATTTTCAAAATAAAAAAAATATAATAGTTTATAAAAAGAAAATAAGTGAGAAAACAAACAAAAAAGAATTAAGAAAAGAGAATATAATAGAATGTATAGGGGATGAATATAATTGTAATAATTATTATGATATATATGAGAATTATTCAGAAGATGATTTGGATATATTAAAATATGAAAAAAAAAAAATTAACAAAAAACAAGATGATAAAGAAGATAAAAAAAAAAAGGAAAAAAATAATGAAAAAGAAATAAATGAAAATAAAATAAAAGAAGAAGAAGTACAAGAAGAAGAAGAGGAAGAGGAAGAGGTAGAAGAAATAGAGGATAATGAAGAATTAAAAGGAAATCATGAAAAGAAATATGATAAAAATAGTATTAATATAATTTTTAATGATATAAATGATATAAAAGAGAATGAAAATGAAATAGAAACAAAAAATAATATAGAGAATGAAAACAAAAGTAACTTGATAAAAATGGGTCTATTGGTATTAATAAAAAAAAATATAAATTCAAATGATGGAAATATAGTTTTAAATAGGACTAGCAATCAAATGAATAAAGAAACAAATAACTTGAAAGAAGAATTAAATAATGATAAAAATGAAAATATAAAGAACACCACTATTAGTTCATTAGAAAAAAAAAAAAATATGCATAATTTTTTAAATTTATATAAATATCTAAGTAATATAAATTTTAAATTATTTGTATTTAAAGGTAGTGATAAAAAAAATCAAGAATCTAATGAGTATGAAGAAATATTTATAAAAAGTAATAACAAAAAAAGAAAAAATAAAATGGATACTTTTATTCTTACTGGTTATGTGAAATTTAATTTAGAGTTATTAAAATATTTTAAAATAAATAATGAAGATAGTAAAATAAAAAGTAATAATATTAGTATAATTAATCCCTATTTAAATTTAGTATTACTTAAAAATTATATTGAATCCTTATTTAGTTTTATAAATATAAATGAATATTTAACAAATAAGTTGCTCAAATTATTATATGAAATATTAATAGAAAACAGAAATTCTGTGATATATAATTTATATTATTATACTATTTTAAAAAAAGAGAATTTGGAAAAAATTATTGATATATTATCTAAAAACGTAAAAAACAATTTAAATAAAGCTAATACAACACTTATACTAAGAATATTGTATATATTATGTTTTCAACAATCTTCATATACTAGTATAACAAAAAATAATAAGAAAAAGGAAAAAATTGAGCTTCTTTATAAGAATATAACAAAATACATAGAAGATTTAGAAAGTGAAAGTTTCATAAATGAGTTACAAAAAAACGAAAAGTTAATTGATTGTTTGAAATTATTATCACTATTTTTTGAAAATAAGTATAGAAATCAAAATTCATTTTATATATCCGATGAAAAGAAAGAACAATTTTTGTATGATAATAAAATATTTAAAAAAAAATTGAATAATATTTATAATAGGCATTTTATATGCGAATATAAAGATTTAATTATAATAAGAAAAACAAACATTATTTTGAAATCGTTAGGTGTAAATATGTTTGATTTATATAACGAAGTTATTTTTACAGAAAGAGAAAAAAAAACACATGAATATTTAATGAAGGAGAATGATATTAAAAAAAATTTTATCAATTATTTTAATGATATGATAAGAAGATTCTCTTTCAAAATTAAAAAATACGTTTTATATAAAAATAAGGAAAGCAATATAGAAAAGGAAATGGATAATTATGCTTTGGAAAACTATCCAAATCAACATGTAACAAAAGTAGAAATTCAAAATAAAAAAGAAGAAAAAGATTATATTAAAAGTAAGAATAAAGAAAATTTAGAAATATGTAATGAAAAAGAGAATGTTAATTCAATAAATATAAAAAAAAATAATAATAATAATCATATTAATACAAATATTGATTATAACAATAATAATAATAATAATTATAAAAAAAATGATAATATTATAAATGCCAATGAAGGAGAAAAAAAAAAAAAAATAAAATGTATATATAATTTGAATAATAGAGAATATATAAGTTTTGATAAATTTAGAAATATTATAAAACATTTAAAAAAAAAAAAAAAAAGAAAATTACGAATTTTATGTCTAGATGGAGGAGGAATTAGAGGATTACTATCAATAGAAATATTAAAGTGTATTAATAGTCATTTAAAGAAAAATATATTTGAATATTTTGATATTATATGTGGTACAAGTACAGGAGCAATAATATCTATCTTAATAGGATTAGAAAAAGCTCATTTAAATGAAATTGAATTTTTATATAATATATTGATTAATAAAATATTTCAAAAAGATATGTATGCAGTTAGAAATACTAGATATTTATTGAAACATTCATATTATGATTCAAATATCTTAAATAATATTTTAAATTCTTTTTTTAAAAATATTAAAATGTTTCATTATAATTCAGATTTTTTTACTCCATATGTATTTACAGTTTCAACGCAAATGAATATTAATCCATTACAACCCATTATATTAAAAAATTACAATATCAATTTAAACAAAATAGAAAAGGATAAGGTAGAAAGAGACAAAAAAAATTCTATATATTATAATGATATTAAACATAATAATATTAATGATGATTATTACGGCAATGAAACTTATGATTGCCTAAATGATGAAGAAAAAAGCAATAACATTCATATAAATAAAAATATAAATAATTTAAGTATATATAAAAGTTTTTATAATATATTTGTTAAATATGTTTTAAGATGTACTACTGCTGCACCTGGATTTTTTAATTTTTTTTCTTTTGATAATAATATATATGCTGATGGTGCTTTATGTTTTAATAATCCCACTTTATTAAGCCTGAATGAATTAAAATTAATTTTTTATAATTATATCAATAAAAAAAAAATAGGATTTTTTGATAAAATAAAATGTTATTTTTTTAAAAACAAAAAAAAGGAAGAAGAAAATGTAATAAATTTGAATGATTATATTGATTGTATTGTAAGTGTTGGCACTGGTAAATATAAACCTCAAAAAATAAATGAATTAAATGAAAATAAAAGTTATGATACATTTTTACGTTGGGATGTTTTATTAAAACAAATTGTCTATTCTATCACCAACACTGAACTTACACATGATATATGTAATAATTTTCTTGATAAAAATAAATATTTTAGATTTAATTGTTTCATTAATAATATTAAATTAGATGAAACGTCACCAGAAATTATTATGAAACTAAAACAAATAGGTAGAAGATATTTTGAAGACCATAAATGCAATCAAGAAAAATTAATCAGATTAGTAAATATATTAGAAGACAAGAATGATATAAAAGAGTATTCTAAATTACAAAAAAAAATGTGGAAGCATTCTTTTATTGATTCAGTAAGATACAAAATTTATAATTTTTTTCTTCCGAATGAACAAAAAAATTATGAAGAACATCCTTTTCAAAATAATTATAATGACAATTTGAACCATGTTCATAAAAATGAAGAACATAATTCAATCACTACTGATAATAATTTAAATGAAACAAAAAATAATTTAAATAAGAAAGAAAAAAATAAAAATTCTTCATATTCTAATTTTAATTTTAATTTCATTAATGACGATGATAAATTTAATTTAAATAATATTGAAGAAATATTAGATATAATAAATAAAAACAATAGTTCACTTAAAAAAGGAAATTCTTCTAATGGTTTTTTTCATTTTTTTAAAAAATTATTTTATAATAATAATAAATTTCTTAAAAAGTTGGAAAATATGAATAAAAACAATATATTCATTAAATTAAAGAAGGAAAAAAATAACTATGTGAATGTTGTACCTAATACTGGTATTAGAGTATTACTAAATGAAATTTATTTTATTCTGTTAAAAAAAAATTTATATTTTCATACAGATGATAATTATTCGATTAATGACGTTAATCAAAAAGATTATGAAATTAATATTGATAAAATTATTCCATCAAAAGAAAAAAAAGTTCAAACAATTGATGAAAATGAGCAAGAAAAAGATAACCATATTGATAAAGAGAATAAATCTGATATTAAAAATCAAAATCCATTAGATAAAAAGGAAGAAAATTTAAATAAAAATGATAACTTAAACAAGAATGATAATATAAACGAAAAATATAATATGAGTGAAATATATAATGATGATGAAAATCAAAATAAAAAAGATGACAATAATTATAAAATAAATAAAAATGATAATGTAGAAACAAAATGTAACCTTAAATATCCATCAGATATCATAAATGAGGAATTACTAAATGTAGATAAAATATCGAATGTTGTAGATAATAAAAATATAAACAAAAAAAGAAACTTAAAAAATAGTAAGGATTACTATCAAACTGACTATGATATTTTTAAAAAGATAAATGAATATTCATCTAGCGAAAAAAAAAATAATATAATACAATCTTTAAAAAATCTTTTTTTTGGAAAGTATATATAAAATTAAAAAAAAAGAAAAAAATATTATTAAATTATTATATTTTAATATATAATTATATTTTACATATTATAACATTTGTTTTATTTTTTTGTTTTACATATATGTAAATGTACCTATTAAGCAAACAGAATTATAAATTTTTTTATTTTATTCTCCTTTTTAATATTTTAAACACAATTTATATTAAGGTGCCACGAAATTTTTATTTTTTTCAAATATTTTTAAATCTTTTATAGATTATTATGTTATTATTTTATTTTTAAAAAAAGAAAATTTTTTTTTGAATTGTTTTTTTGTTAAATTATGAATTAAGAAACTTTTTTTTTTTTTTTAAATTATGATAAAATATGAAATAATGAAAACATAAAAAAAAAAAAATGTATTTTGTATAATAATGATAAAATTGATTATATTTACAAATGTTTATTTACTCATTAATTTTGATTTTTCACATGCTGCGTCTATAGCTTCAATAACTACATTAAAAAAAATAATATAAATATAAATATATATATATATAAATATGTGTGTGTGTAAAGGTAAGTGTATAGAGATTTACTTGAATATTTGAAGTGATTTTTTTCTAAAGTGAATAATCCTACTGCTGTAGTACCACCAGGTGAGCAAACATTGTCTTTTAATTGTTGAACTGGTAAATTAGATGTATTAGTCATTTTAACTGAACCATATATAGTTTGCAAAACTAATTTTTTTGATAATTCTCTCGATAATCCATTTTTTACACCTGCATCAATTAAACTTTCAATGAATAAATAAACATAAGCAGGACCTGAACCAACTAAAGCTGTCGTTATATCCATATATTTTTCTTCTATTTCATGTATAATCCCACAAGAGCTAAAAATATCTATAACATATTTTTTATCTACATCATTCACATTTTTATTAACACAGAATGTAGAAGCACTTTCACCAACTAAACATGGTGTGTTAGGCATAACCCTTACTACTTTATTATTTTTCCCAACTAACTATATAAAGAAGTAAATTACATAATTATTTAATTATTATGTCTCAAAAAAATATGTATTTTTTTTTTTTTTTTTTTACTTGTTCTAGTTTTTCAATTTTTACTCCAGCACAAATAGAAATTAATAATTTAGACATCAAATATTTCTTAAAAAAGAATATATATTTATTTATATAATTTTACATTATTATAATTTATAATAATCAGTGTGTATATTTTATTATTTTTTTTTTTTTTTTTTTTTATAAAAAAATACCCCAACATCTTTTAATATATGAGAAACAATATCTGGTTTAACGGCACAAATAATTATGTCACATGTACGTATAACCTAATTTAAATTCTATATTTTTATTTTTTTATATTTTTTTATATATATTAAAATGAATTTTTTTTTTACCTCTTCATTTGAATTTAAATAGTTGAATGTGTTATTATTTTTTTTGGGATCATGATAATAAATATTTTCTTTTTTAATAATATTATTTTGCAATATTCCATTTGCTAATGCAAAACCCATTTGCCCAAATCCTAAAAAACCTTTTTAAAAAAAAAAAAAAAATATATATATAATCATAATAATAAGAATAAACTAAAACTTAATTTGTTTTAGTAAGTTCTAATATAATAAGTTAATAATGATAAATTTTATGTCAATAACTTAAAAAAAAATTTAATAGTAAAAATATATGCGATGTTGAAATACAAAAATTTAAAAAGACAAAAAAGTTTACCTAATTTAACGTTCTCCATTTTTAGCTTATGTTGTCTTTTCCTTTTTATAAATTTCCGATATTCATAAATCAAAAAGATAAATATTATTAATTCTTCAATATAATCAAAAATGTGAATTTTTTTTTTTTTTAGCTAATAAAATAATTATTTTTAATAACTTAAAAAGGAAGTATTATTATTAAATAAAAAGCAAAAATATAAATATTCATATCAAAATATATTCTTTAAACTTGAATTTTATTTTGGTGTACTCTAGCAAAGTTTTTTTCGCTTTATTATAATTTCATTTATTTTATATATATATATTAAATTTTTTTTTTCTATTTTTAAAAAAGTACATGAAATATCATTGTTTAGTGTACTGAAAAAAATGTAGTACAAGTTAATTTTCTATTTTTAAAAATATACATATATAATTCTATTATAGTGAAATAAATAAGTATTTATTTATAATTTTTACTTTTAAAAAAAAAAAAAAATTCAAGAAAAATTCATATTAGTTTTATAATTCATTCTGTTAATCACAAAAACACAATTCTAATGAAATTAATAGATGTAACATTTCGTAAAGGAGAGAAATAAAAATGTAAACATGGAATTATAAAAAATATATAGAAGAATACTTTTATTAAATAATCTATAATATTTCAATTGAGTATAAATAATTATTTTCTATATTTTAAATAGCTTATGATAATTGATAAATGTTATAATTTTATGTTTACCAAAATTTTTGATATTGTATTATTAATATATTTTTTCAAATATTTATTATATAGTGTTATATTTATATTATTTATATTTATTTTAAATTGTTAATAATAAAGAGTTTATATATATATATTAGAAAGAATATTATTATTATTTTATTTTATGGATTTTCCTTCTAATTATTAAAAAATAAATTTTTAAAAATATAAAATTTTAATTAATTTTTTTTTTAAATATTATATATATTTATAATTACATGAGTTTTAAAAGCTTTTTTAATAAATTTTAATTTATTCTAATCTAAATAATTTTTAAGATTAAATGTCATAGAAGTTTATATATTAATTTTAATTACTCATTTAAATAATGTTTTTGATTTTTCACAACCAGAAGTTATAGCATCAATAACTATAAAAAAAAAAAAAATATATATATATATATATATGTATATATATATATATATATATAATTATTTTGATTATATATATTTATATTTACTCGCAAATTTAAATTGGTTTTTTTCTAAAGTAAATAATGCTTCTGCTGTAATACCACCAGGTGAACAAACATTGTCTTTTAATTGTTGAACTGGTAAATTAGATTCTTCAACTAATTTAACAGAACCATAAATAGATTTTAAAATAAGTTTTTTTGATAATTCTCTTGATAATCCATTTTTAACACCTGCATCAATCAAACTTTCAATAAATAAACATACATAAGCAGGACATGCACCAATTAATGATGAGGCAATATCCATATCTTTTTCTTTTATTTCATGTATAATCCCACAAGAGTTAAAAATATCTATAACATATTTTTTATCTATATCATTCACATTTTTATTTACACAAAAAGTGGAAGAACCTTCACCTACTAAACAAGGTGTATTGGGCATAACTCTTACTATTTTAATATTTTCTCCTACTATCTATACAAAAATAATTTAAAAGTATTACATATATATATATATATATATATATATATATATATATATTTTATATGTTATCAAATTTAGAAAAATATTCTTTTTTTTTTCTTTTATACTTGTTCTAATCGTTCAATTTTTATTCCAGCACAAATAGAAATTAACAATTTTTCTGATAAGTTAGTCTAAAAAAATAAATATATATTTAATATATATATATATATATTACTTTATAATGCAAAATTAATTTTTTATAATACCTTAATATCTTTTAACACAGAACCAGCTACATCTGGTTTAACAGCACATATAATTATGTCACATTTACAAGCAATCTAAAAAGAAAATTTTTTTTTTTTTTTTTTTTATTTTAACTTTATAAATTCTGAAGTTAATTCTTTTACCTCTTTATTTGAATTCAAATATTTGAATGTGTTATCTTTTTTTGATGGACCATAATAATAAATATTTTCTTTTTTAACTACATTAGTATTAGCTATTCTATTTGCTAATGCAGAACCCATATTCCCTAGACCAATAAATCCTTTTTTTAAAAAAAAAAAAAAAAAAAAAGAAAAATTATAATAATAACTGTAATATTAAATAATATGTTGAAGCATTTGAATAAATGATAAAAAACTGGTAATAGTGATAAACAAATGCATTAAAATTCTTTTTTCATTAAAATCATTATTTAATATCTAAAAATTAATATTTAAAAAAAAAGAGAAAATACCTAATTTAATATTTTCCATTTTTGTATTATATTTTTTTGTTAATATTATTATTTTATTGTATTATTTTTTCAATTAGCTATGCTGGAAATTCAATATATATATATATATTAGTTAAGATAATAAAAGGTATATATTTTTTTATTTTAATAATCTATAAGGTTGTTTCTTTTTAACATTTTATATTTAATTTTTTTTGGTGTAAAGCATAAAAAGGTATGTAATATGTTTTTTTTTGTTTTCACATTTAATAATGTTCAGAAGAAATTTTTTTTTTTTTTTTATAAAAATGTCATGTTATTAGAGTTATAAGAATTCATATATAATTTATTTTCATATATTTAAATATATATACAACTATATTTATTAAATTATATGCGTGAATATTTATATATATTTTTTTATGTTAAAAAAAATTTTTGATTGAAATATATAAAATTAATTTTTTAATTTATTTTGTTCATCATAAAAAATATACTGAAAAGATAAATGTAATAATGAAGAATAAAAATATTTAATGAAATAAAATTAAAGGAAAATAATTTTATAAAATTAATGAAAATATATAGAAGCAAATTTTTACAAAATTAATTATAATATTCCAACTAAATATATATGAACAATTCTTATTTTCAAAATAAATCAGGTTTAATGATAAAAATAAAAAGCTTAAATTTTATAGAATTTCCTTTTTATAATATACTATTTATATAATATTAATAATATATATATATATATATATATTTATTTTTTTTTTTTTTTTCATCTTTTAAAATAAAGATATGAAAAGTATTTTGTTAAGAATTATTTTCTTTTAGATAACTCATTTCAAAAAATTTTGTATATTAATGAAAATTATATATTTTTTTTTTTTCCTTTTTTTTTTTTTTTTTTTTTTTTTCATTGTGTATATGTATTTTATCAATAGTAACTAGCTTTATATTTTTATTTGTTTATATTGTAAATTATTTACTTATATTTTTAACTTCATCAGTTATCTTTATACTTACCTGCAAATGACTGTATCATCAATTTTAAGTATCATCATAACTGTTTCAGTGGCTAATTTAATTGCCGTTGATGTAACTAATAATGGTTGTATGACATTTTCCTCTATCATATTTGAAATAGTACCTGTTCTAATATTTATTCCATAATATTTATGACCTTCTGCGTGCTTATTTCTTAATTCAGTAACAATATGAAGTGGAGACAATCCTGCATTTTCAGCTAAGGTATATGGAATTAATTCTAATGCATCTGAAAATGCTTTAACACATATTTGTTTAGATCCTTTTAATGTATTAGCCCACTGATATAATTTCTGAGATAATTCCATTTCAGCTGCTGCTCCACCGGGCAATATAGCTTTTTCTTTAATTAAACTTCTAACAACACATAACGCATCATGCAATGATCTTTCTGCTTCATCTAGCATTAAATTATTTGATGCTCTTAATAAAACAGAAATGGTATTTTTTGATTGAACTCCTGTTATTTTTACTATTTCTCCATATCCAATGGATTCTGTTACTACAGTTTCTGCATAACCCAATTTATCAGGGGTAAAATAATCTAAGCTAGCTACAGGAATGCAATTGCAAGTTTTTGATATAAATTCAATATCTTCTCTTTCTATATCTTTTATAACCATTATTTTCGCTTTTGATAAAAAGTCTAATGCTAAATCATTAACGGCATCACGTAATATACTTTTCTGTATTAATAATAAGTTACACCCAGTGCTAGCTATTTTTTTTATCATTTTACCAATTATTAATCTCTCTTCTCTTAATAATCTATCCATACTATTATAATCCTTTACTACAACTGTATTATCCATATCGGTTTTTGGTAATGATAAGCAAAATTGAATCAATCCAATTTTTGCTTGAGATAAACTTTTTATTCCATGTGCTCTCTTGCTAATTTTATTACTTGTAAAAATTAAACCATCTACTATTTCAGTATCTTCAATTGTACCACCCAATTTTTTTACAATTCTTATATTATTCAGGTCAACATTTGTATCTTTGTTAATATCAGTAATTTTTAATATGACATCAACGGCTATCGGTGCTAATAACGATGAATTGTGTGAAACCACCTTTGAATTTAATGATGTTATAGCACTTTTTATTAGCATATTTTTATCATTTAAATCAATAGGTATAGCCATGCTTCTTAGTATCTCTTCACTTTTAACAGATGCTTCAAAAAAACTTTCAGATATTTTTTGGCAGTGAATATTTCTATCTAAAAGAGATTTACACACATTTAAAAATGAACCACACATAACAACAACTGAAGTAGTACCATCTCCTGCTTCCACATCTTGAGCTTTACTAAGCTCAACTATCATTTTTGCTGTTGGATGTGCAACTGCCATTTCTTTCAAAATGGTTGCTCCATCATTTGTTATTATAACACCTCCTTTACCATCTTCAATCTGTTTAAAAATTAAAATTAAATTTTATTATATATTATATTTATACACATTATATTCATGTATATTATATTTATATAATAGGATGTATATTGTTTACCATTTTATCCATTCCTTTAGGACCTAAACTGGTTCTAGTTACATCAGCAACAGCCTTAGCTGCTAAAATATTCATTTGCCTTACATCACTTTGCTTTTCATTTCTATTTAAATTTTCGGTATTTTTATTTTCTGAAAAAAAAAAAAAAAAAAAAATTTTATTTATTAAAAATGTTTTTAAAATGTTTATAATTATTACATTTAAGAACATACATAAGATACTTATAAAGTTATGTAAAAAATACCATCTTTTTTAAAGATATGCATCAAATATATAAAATTGAATATAGATAATATATATATAATATATGAAGTTATGTATCAAACGGTTATTCAAAACATTAGCATTTTTTTAAGTTATATATATATATATATATATGTATATATATAATAATTAAAATATAGTAATAAATCAAAATTCTTTTCAATTTATATATATAGAAAAACAAAATTTCTTATAAAAAAATAATTATAGAAATTTATATAAATTTATTTTTGTAAATTTATTTCATTTTTAATATGTGGTTTTTACTTGCTACTTCTGCCATTTCCAATATTATATAGAATTTATGTTTTTTATTTAAAAAAAAAAAAAAAAAAAGAGAAAGGGAAATTATTTAAAATATTTTAAGACTAATTAAAGTTTTTTTTCATACAAAAAAAATTAAGTAAAAGAAAGATATAAAATTTCTTCAGTTATTTTCCTTTTTCGTTTCAAACAAAATTATAAAAAAAAAAAAAAAAAAAAAAATAAAAATTAGAAAAATATTATATAAAATGTATAAACAAACGTATTTTCTCTAGCTTCATATATTTATTTCATTTACATGTATTCATAAATAACACTTTACAAATTTTTTTCTTAGCTTTTTATTCAAAAATATAATAGTAGTTTTCGGTTCTTTTTTTTTTTAAATTACATAAATAAAAATGATAAAAAAATAAAATAAAAAAACAATTTAGTTCAATAAAAATAAAATGATAAAACTTTTAAAAAATAATATATATAAAAAAAAAAAAAATTATATAAAGTATTAAATGGAACAATAATATACAATTAAAATTTTAACATACTTCAATTAAAAAAAAAATATTTGTTACAAAATCATAAATATATTTTGTAGAAACATATTTTTAATATAATTAAACTTTTATTTAAATATTGTTTTTTTAATAACCTTTTAAGCAACTTCTTTTTGATTTATATTTAATAGTTACAATGATTTGTAATTATTTTTATAAATTGTAATTTAATTTCTCATATAAGTTTAAGTATTTTGTTTTTTCTTTTTATTCTTAAAAAAAAAAAAAAGTTGAAATAAAAATAAAAAAAATGGGAGTAGAAAAAAATATTTGTATGCCTTTAAAGCTTGATGATGTTTTTCATGAGGAAAAAACTAAAAGTGGAGATTATAATGATAAAAATTTAGATATAATAGAAAAGGAAAAAAATAAAAAAAACTATAAAAATATATTGAACAAATATAAAATAACTGAATGTAATAAAAGTGAAATTAAAGAAATACAAAAGAAAAAAAAATATAATGAAAACATGAATAAAGAAGAAAACAAAAATTTAAATGATAGTGAACCAAAAATAGAGAATAAAACTGATAATGATAATGATAATAATGACCTTAAAAAAAACATAGAAAAAAGTAATGAGCAAATTTCAATAGAGATAAATGAAATTAAGAAAAGAAAATCACATAAAGAAAGTAATTTATTAATAGCTAATGGAACAACTGGTTTAGTTGTACATAATGGAATAATGTGTTTATCTATGAAAGGAATTCAACCATTTATCATAACAAGTGTTAAAAAATCATATTGCGTTTATGATCCACACAAATTAAGAAAGGCATATACATCTGAATATTTTGCAGAAGATATTAAAAATTTATACTGTACCAATGATTATGTTTATGTAATTTTTAATAAGAAAGTATATAAAATTAATGAATATGGTAAAAAAAAAATTTTTTATAATTATCATAAGTATAATATTATTAATATTTTAATTGTTTCTGATTATTTATTGACATATAGTAAAAAAGAAATAATTATATGGAATGATGGATATATTGAAGATGAATCTCATATAAGTTATTCAAGTGATGAATTATCAAATACAAATGAAGATCAAAAAGAAAAAGAAAATGAGGATAATATTTCTGATAATTTAAATGATGATAATTATCATAGTAGTGACGATGATGATGCATATAGTCAAAACGAAAAAGATAATGAAAATATAGATTGTGAAGATGAAGTAAAAAAATTAAAAAAAAATAAATCTTATATGAAAAATAATGAAAAATGCTATAGAGATATTTTGGTTAAATCTATCGAATTATTTGATAATAATTCAGAAACTGAAATAAGAAGTGTTATTCATCCAATTGGATATATAAATAAAGTTATTATATGGACTAACGAAAATAAATTATATTTATATAATATTAATAAGGAAAAGATAATTTACGAATACAATTCAATAAATAAACTAAATTTAAGGGAACAAAGAGAGATAAAAATATTATCAAAAACATTAAAAAACGAAGAAATTTGTTTAATTACATCTGACAATGAATTATATATAATTAACATTGAAAAAGATGAGATAGTATATTCTAAAAATATATATATGGATAATGATTTCATAAGTTGTGTAAATTTTTATAATTATAAATATAATGATGAAATAAATTTAGCTATTTTAATAGGTACGGAAAATGGAAAAATAGTAATGATTAATTCAAAAAATAGTCAATATTTTATTAAAAGAGATGTACACGATTATATAAAAAATATTTTAATATCTCCACAAGGTTATATATATACAAGTGGATATGATAATAAAATTAATTTGTTAAACTTAAATAAAAGTTCATTTACATTAGAAATTGTGAAAAAGAGGAATAGTTGTATAGGAATTATTAATAATATCAAATATTTAGATGATGAGAATTATAAATTAATAGTTTCAGCAAATATGCCAAATGAAAATGAAGGAAATTTATTTATTATAAGTCCACATAATCCTGAACAAAATAAGGATTTTTCATGGAATAAAAAAATAAATATATTAAATAAAAAAATAGTTGATTTTGATATAAATATAAATAGACATTATGACTGGAATAATATATTAATATGTTTAGAAAATTCAGATCGCGTGTATTTAGCATCATCATATAAAAAAACTATATCAAATGAATACTTGTTATTACCATTTGATATAATGAATAAAGAAGAAAAGGAAATAAGAGAAGATATGATTAAAAAAGAAAATGAAAAAAATAATATAGAAGAAGTTGATGCTTCTAAAAATGAAGAATATAAGATATACGATGATTATAAGACCTATGAAAATTATCATATAAAAAAAAAAATATATGCAACAAGTATATTAATATCTACATGTGGTCATATAGGTATTGTTGGTTACAGTAATGGGGAAATACATTCATTCAACATTCAATCAAAAACATATAGGATTGAATATAAATTAAATAAATATTCATTAAAATCAAAAGCACATACAGATGGTGAAATATTAAAGTTATATTTATATGGAGTTAATTACTTTGTATCAGCTTCAAATTCAAAAGAAGATACGTCTTTAAGAGTATGGAATATTTATACAGGTGATTTAATATATTCCTATAATGTTAAGAGTGCATATAATAATATGATTGAAAATATAAGTATTGTCTCATTTTTTCATCATAATATACTTACAGCCGTTTGTTTATCAAACAATCATACCTTAATTTTAGATATTGAACAGAAATGCATCACTAGAAAATTCCATTTTTCATTTTCAATTACAAATATTATATTTAGTAAAGATAATAGACTAATTTTTTTTGCATTTAATAATAGTACTTTACTTATATATGAAATTATATCTCATACTTTTATTGATTATTTGTTATTCAAAAATGATGTTATTTCCATGATTTATAATGATATTTATTTATATACTTCCCATAAACATAGTCACAATTTTGTTTATAGTTTTACTAATAAAAATTTATTTAACAATTGTAACTACTTGCTTAATGATTACAAATTATTTAATGCAATACCAATTGAAGAATGCTCCAATTCAGAAGATGAGCCACATTACAATAATGTTAATATAAAAGAATTAATTAACATGAATAATGATACTAATAACACGAATGACACATTATTTTTAAATGAAAAAGGAGATAACAACTTTTTAAATGAAAATGAAAAAACTGATTATAAAGATTTAGTTAAATCCTATACATCTAGAGAAAACCAAATTAACAGAAATTTACTAACTATGTCAGGTTTTAATATATCAAAAATAGCTTATTTAATATTTTTAGATAAAATAAAAGAGAATTGTAGAGTGGAAGAAAACATTAAAAAAAATGAAGAAATTCCTTTTTTTCTTAGTGCTAAATTAAATACAAATATAGAATATAATGATAATGATGAAAAAAAATTTTTAGAAAATATTACTAATAATAATATTGAAGATAACGAAGAAAAAAAAGAAGTAAATAATAAACAAGTTATAAAAAGTAAACATATGACTAAGAGTAATAGTATTAAAGTCCATTCCTCAAAATTGCAAGAAATTTTAGCGAAGAATGAAGATTCTTATATTAGTAAATAATAATAAAAAAAAAAAAAATTATTTATAATAAAATATTTAACTTTAATATATATATATATATTTTTTTCATTATACTTTTTTAGAGGTTCTGAAATACTTAAAAAGTTTATCTCCATCAGGAGTACATTATAATATATTATGCTTAAGCACATTAGAAGAGGTTACTCTTTTTTTTTTTTTTTTTTTTCATAATTTTATATATAAATTAAAATGTTTACTTTTATAAATTATTATATAAATAAATTTATTTTTAATGTGAATATGTTTATATATTTTTTCTTCTTTTAGTTGGAAAATATGATGAATTTTTTTATTTATCATGTTAAGTCAAATGACAATATAGATTTAATTCAAGCATACATATTAATTTTTTTAAAGGTATAAAGCTAATTTTTTTTTATATAATATATATATTTTTTTATATTTTTTTTAATTGATTTAGTTCTTTTTATGAATTTATGCATTAAAATGTATATACATAATACAAAAATAATTCATATATTCACTTCTTTAATTCAGGTACACGGTAAAAAATTAATGAAAACAAAAAAACAAACTCTAAAAAATACTATAAGTGCTTTACTTCAGGAAACACAAAACAGTTGGTCAAATATTAATTTTTTATTTGAAAATATTATTTTTTTTATTAAGTTTTTAACAAATATACAATTAGAATAAGAGAAAACAAAATATCATTTATTTTTACATACACATATATATTTGAAATATAACTTTTTGTTCTTTGTTTTAAATAAGCTTTTAAATAAATATGCATTTCTCATAATTATATTCAGTAAGAATTTAATAGTTAATTAAAAATTGAAAAAAAAAAAGAAAAAAATTTTTAATTTATAGACTTAATGTGTATTTTATTAAGATTTGATATTTTATATGATGTTATTTGTAAGTACAAATTTTCTTTATTAAAAAATCAGTTTGTATTAATATTTACAAGGATCATATGTCTAAATTTTAAATTACACTATAATTTTTTTTTATTTTGTTTTTACCTTTTTTTGTTTTATAAATATATTATTTTCTATAAATACATATATTGTTCTTTTTAATTTTTCATTTGATTTTATCTTTTTTTACTTTTCTAAAAACGATAATATTTTTAATGAAAAAAAAAAAAAAAAGATATTTGAAAAAAATAAAAACTCATTATATCATTTAATTTTTTTTAATTAATATTTCTTAATAATACTTTATCTTATTACTTGGCATATTTATAGATTATTTTATTTTATTTTATTTTATTTTTTATTTTTTTTTTTTCATTAAATATGGAGTTGTAAATTATTTTGAACTATTTCCCTTTTATTTTCTATTTTTAATATTTACTGTTAATATATTTTCATTTGAATTATGAATTTTCATATTGTTTATTTTATATCTATTCAATTTATTAATGAAAAAAATATCAAGTATAAAAAAAATAATATTTATATCTATAAATATTGGAAAGGATTTCTAATTAATCTTTATAAATATAACAATTACAATAAGAATAAATATTTTTATTTTTACGTTATTAATATTTAAAGAATTACTAACATATGTATATAAAATATTAAATGAACAATAAAATAATACCTTTAAGTAATAATTTCCTTTATGTTTTTAAAATAAAAGTAGTAATAATAATTTAAATAATCAAGGTTTTCATATATTTAATGAAAAATTAACAAAATCAGAGTACAAATGTATATATTTGAAAAGTAATAAATTGGAGTATCTTACTTTAATTAGTGAATCTAATGATTAGAAATTAAACGGAAATACTTATTATTTTGAATGAATTAGAAACAGCTTAATTTAAAGAAAAAATACTTTCATAAAAATAAAAATATTAAATAACAAAAAAGGTACAAATAATACTTGTAAAAAATAAGTGAATTAAATAAAGATAGAAAAAAAGAAAACAACATATATATTTAAAAACGCTTGAGAAATGAAAATTAATATAATAATTTAACTTAACAAATTACAAATAAATTATCTAAAAGGAGAAATTATAGTAATCTGAAATTTTAATAGAAGTAAAATGGAATATAATAATAGTTAGATATATAAGATAATTATAAAAAATTGTTATATTAAAATTAACTATAAAAGGATTTATTAATAATAAAATATTTAATCTATAATTTTTATATGTATAATTTAAAAAATAAAATAAAATTTATCTTATCTTTTTTCAAATTTATTTCCCATGGGAAATTGTAAAAAAGAGAATGGAAAATAAATATATTATATAAAACAATTGAAAAAAAAAAAAAAAAAAAAAAATATAACTTGCACAAGTAAAAGATAGAAACATTATTTATTAAAATTTTCTTAAATAATTACAATTTACATGCATTATATATATATATATAAATAATCCTTATGGTTTAATAGTGTATTGTAACTATATAACAATGATTGTCTTTTATAAAAACTTGGACAAAAGAAAAAAGTATTATAAAATAAAAAAATATACTCTAATTATTCTCTTTTTATTTACTTTTAATATTTTAAAAAGAATCTTCATGGTTTTCTAATAAATTTGTTTTCATAAAATTTTGATGAACTAAAAAAAACATTAGAAATTTTTTTTTTTTTTTAAATAATAAATATTAAAGTTATTTATTTAAAAAAATATATATTCAAAGAAAATACTATTTTTTTTTTTTTTTTTTTTTTTTTTAGTGTAATTAAAGA